TACATTATTTTTATAAGATAATGCTATTGTACACTTAATAGCCTATAGTATAAACATGACTTTTAGATGCACTGGGACCAAAAAAAAAAAAAAAGTGTGTACTGTAATACGCTCTACTGTAATATTCACTATGTTGCTGGTCTGGAACTGAACCCGCAGCATCTCCGAGGTGTGCCTGTGATCGGGACAGAGTGATGTAGGTTACGGATTGGCAAATAAATCAAAGGAAAAAAACATAGTCCAGACAGACCTACTTTCAATAGTGCAAGTAGAGACTTTACATTCACATGGACAAAAGGGAACCTCAACCCCTATCTTACACCAAAAACAAAAATCAATGCAAAACGTGAGACCTGAAACCGTGAGACTTCTAGAAGAAAACAGAGGTGGGAAGCCCTTTGATATTGGTCTTGAATGATTTTTTGGATTTGACACCAAAAGCAAGGACAACAAAAGCAAAAGTAAACAAGTGGACTACACTGAACTAAAAAGCTTCTGCACAGCAAAGGAAACCATCAACAAAATGAAAAAGCAGGTACCAGGTGTTCCCTGGTGGTCCACGGGTTAGGACTCAGCGCTTTCACTGCCATAGGCCCAGGTTCACTCCCTGGTCGGGGAACTAAGATCCTGTAAGCCGAGACGTGCGGCAAAAAAGAAAGAAAAAGGCAGCTACCGAATGGGAGAAAATATTTGCAAACCATGTGTCTGATAAGGGGTTATTATCCAAAATATATAAAGAACTCACACAACTCAGTAGCAAAAAAAAAAAAGCCAATTTAAAAAATGGGCAGAGGAACTGAATAATCATCTTTCCAAAGAAGACACACAGATGGCCAACAGGTACATGAAAAGATGCTCCACATCACTAATCATCAGAGAAATGCACATCAAAACCACAATGATTAATCACCTCACACCTGGCAGAATGACGTCATCAAAAAGACAAGAAGCACTGGCGAGGGTGTGGAGAAAAGGGAGCCCTCGGTGCACCGCGGGGGGAGGTAAATCGGTGCGGCCACTGTGGACAACAGTGTGGATGAAGCTTCCTCAAGAAGCTGAAAACAGAACTACCGTGTGATCCAGCGATCCCACTCCAGGACATTTACGAAGGAAACAAAACCACAACCTTGAAGAGATATCTGCTCCCCCATGTCCACTGCAGCATTATTCACAGCAGCCAAGATATGGAAATAACCAAGTGTCCATTAATGGATAAGAAAATGTGGCACACACATACAGTGGAATACTATTCAGCCTTAAAAAAAAAAAGGCAATCCTGCCATTTGGGACAATATGGATGAACCTCAAGGGCATCATCTGAGATAAGCCAGCAAATGACAAAGACAGCATGGTGTCACTTTATGTGGCCTCTTACTTTTTTTTTTTAAGGCAAACTTTCATGGAAACCGAGTAGAATAGGGGTTGCCAGGGGGTGAGGAGTGGGGGAAACAGGGAGACAGTAAATTTATAAAATGAAAAAGGTCTGAGGATCAAATGTATAACATGGTGACTACAGTTGATGACACTGTTTTGTACAGCCGAAATTTGCTAAGAGAATAGAACTTAAGTGATCTCACCAAAAAAAATATGTTAAGCGAAAAAACCAAACCATATACAAAAGTTCTTGAAACAGATCATAGATCTAAATGTAATTTTGCTAAAATACAAAAATTCTAGAGAAAAGAGAAAATCTTCACAACCTTGCAGCAAAGATTTCTTAGGACACATAAAGCACTAAACCATTAAAAACGTTTTCTGTTCTGTGAAGAGGAAGGAAAGGCAGGAGGGAAATACTCACAACACACGTTGGACAAAGGGTACCATTCAGGGCTTGTGAAGAGCTCTTACGACAAGCGGCCCGACGGAACAACCCACAATAAATTTTTAAAACTTCTCCACGAACGAAGATGTAAGGAAGCCACTAAGCTGTGAAAAGACACTGCCATATAATGAAGATGTGGTGCATACAGTGGAATATTACTCAGCCATAAAAAGGAACGAAATAGTGTCATTTGCAGAGATGTGGGTGGACCCAAAGACTCACACAGAGTGAAGTAAGTCAGAAAAACATATCATATAATACTGCTTATATGTGGAATCTAGAAAAATGGTACAGATGAACTTATTTGCAAAGCAGAAATAAAGACACAGATGTAGAGAACAAACATATGGACCCCAAGGGGGGTAAGGGAGGGTGGGATGAACTGGGAGATTGGGATTGACATATATACACTACTGTGTATAAGATAGATAACTAATGAGAACCTACTGTATAGCACAGGGAGCTCTACTCAGTGCTCTGTGGTGACCTAAATGGGAAGGAAATCCAAAAAAAAGGGGATATATGTATATGTATAGCTGATTCACTTTGCTGTACAGCAGAAACACAACATGGTAAAGCAACTATACTCCAATAAAAATTATTTAAAAAAAAAGATGCTGCCATCACGGGGCATCAAAATTAGCGTCTGAGCTGCCCTTTCCTGCTGGCGAGTGTGGGGGGAACAAGCCCTCCGGAAACCGTTGGCCGTTTCTTCTAAAGCAGTAAGTGAGCGCTCACCAGACGGCAGGAATGCCACCCCCAAGAGTTTACCGAGAGAAACGAAGACTCACGTCCACAGAAGGCAAGTCGGAAAATCCACCGCAGGTGCACTCCTGGCCATAAAACCCAGAACCAGCGGGTCCACCCGCAGGCCAGCACACAGCCCCGCACGGCTATCTGGGTCACCACTCCCAACGGGAAGGAGCAGATGGCCCAGCGAACCACCACAGGTCAACGCTATGACCCTAACCGGATTCACAGGTCAGTGCTCTGAGCCTAACTGGTTCACAGGTCAATGGTGTGACCCTAACTGGATTCACAGGTTCAAAGCTCTGCCCCTATCCTGGTTTACAGGTCAGTGCTCTGACCCTAACTGGTTCACAGGTCAATGCTCTGACCCTAACGGGTTCACAGGTCAATGCTCTGACCCTATCCTGGTTCACAGGTCAGTGCTCTGACCCTAAATGGATTCACAGGTTCAAAGCTCTGACTCTATCCTGGTTTACAGATCAGTGCTCTGACCCTAACAGGTTCACAGGTCAATGCTCTGACCCTAATCTGGTTCACGGGTCAATCCTCTGACCGTAACTGGGTTCACAGGTTCAATGCTCTGACCCTAACCTGGTTCATCTGTCAATGCTCTGACCCTAACTGGGTTCACAGGTTCAATGCTCTGACCCTATCCTGGTTCACCTGTCAATGCTCTGACCCTAACTGGGTTCACAGGTTCAATGCTCTGACCCTATCCTGGTTCACCTGTCAATGCTCTGACCCTAACTGGGTTCACAGGTCAGTGCTCTGACCCTATCCTTATCCTTATTCATGGGTCAATGCTCTGACCCTAACCTGGTTCACAGGTCATTGCTCTGATCCTAACCTGGTTCACGGGTCAATACTATGATCCCTAATGAGGTTTACAGATTCGATGCCATGATCTAATCTGGCTCACAGGTTCAATGCTATGCAATCAAATCCCTACAGGAGTTTTGTGGAACTTGTCAAGCTGATTTTAAAACTTATATGGAAACTTTGAGAGACCAAGAAGAGCAGACACTCCCAAGAACCCCAAGGTAAGGGGAGGTAAACTAGGATAACTAATACAGTACAGGCTGCCCAAGGCAGTCGGCAGACAGAGGCCAATCCAAGGTCTCGCAGACACCTGATATATGACAAAATCTGCACTGCTGAGGGGTGGGGAAAGGACAATCTTTTCAACAAATGGTGCTCAGTCACACAGATGTCAATACAGGGAAAAAAATAAAGCTTGACCCCCTTCAGCACCTTCTGGGAAACAATATAAATGTGTATCTTTGTGAGCTGGGTTTTGGAAAAACTTGTCTTGGACATTATAGAAACCCACCTGTATACATAAAAAGACTGCAAAGTTGGAGGATAATAAAAATAAGAACTTCTGTTCATTAAAAGACATCGTCAGGAAGTAAACAAGCCACAGAGGGAAGATATCTGCAAGTCAAACGTCAGGAAAGAGCACTGATCCAGAACACGGAAAGAACTGCTGCAAACCAGTAAGAGGCAAACTGCTCAGCAGACACAGGTGGGCAGGAAACCCGGCCCGGCTGCAGTGCCCCCCCCACACACACACGCGCGCGCGCACGCGCGCACAGGCCGGGCAGATGGCCGCGGTGCCATGGGGAAGGCCTGGCCCCACGGCCCTGGGCTAGAGCCGCGCCCCAGGCTGCAACCTCCAGGAACACAGGCTCCTCTTCCAGACACTTGTCTCACAAATGCTGACCCCTTAGGGTGTGGCTGCAGGGGCAGCGCGGGGTCAGGAGATGAGCAGGGCGCTCTGAAGACACAGCCAAGAGTGGCAGGCACGGGAAGGGGAGCGCCTGGCTTCACCCGACCTACAGGTGGCTGTTCAGGGGTCTCGCAGCTGCTGCGGGGAACAGAGTACTTGTTTCCCCGCCTCCACCTGAACTCCCTCCCACTGGCAGCGATGGCGAGTTCTTAGAAGGTCTGAAGTCAGCAATTTTTGAATTAAGGAGCAACCCTGGGAGCCAGGACAAGGCAGGACAGGGCAGCCAGCGATGGCTCAGAAACTGCCCTGGGAACCAGGGCCCGGAGCGGATGAAGCCAGGGTCCGGCTCTTCTACCCACACCTGGGAGGGCACCGGGGTCACAGAGAGACGCACCCACCCTGTTCACAAGTGTGACCCTCACTCCACTCGAAGGCTCGACCCCCGTGCACATGGCCCCCGAGCCTCTTGGCGGCCCTCACCCTTGCTGAGAAGGAAGGTGGGGCTCAGAGGCTGGAGGGACATGTCCGAGGTCCCACACTCTCACGCGAGGCTCGCTGGGCAAGCTCAGGACCTCTGGGATCAGGGACCCAGAGCCAGTCTGGCGGGCGAGCCTCCTTACCAGCCCGGGCCCCGCCAGCAGGCCCCTCCACGTGGCACAGTCCCATCAGCTCTACACCCAACCCCTCAGGACGCATTACCTTGTTGTCAAGGTCAAAGAGGTAAGAATCTTCCTCACGCACGTCAGCTTCCGAGTCAGAGATGAGCTCCCCGACATACCTGCGGAGGCGGAGGCAGACGAAAACGTGACAGGCGCATGTCCCCCAGGACCCAGACGCAGGGCACAGGGGCCCTGACAGAGCCCACATGACTGAGAATTCTGCCTGTGACTGAACAGGGACTTCATCCGGGTCCCAGAAAATGATGACACAGAAACCCTCTATCTGACCAGGGGTCCAAAATGATCATCCCCTACACGTCATGAAGTGCTGATGGATCTTCTGAAATAAGTTATGAGCTGGTGAGAAAGTGCAGGCAGAAACGCAGAGGTGGGCGGGGGCTGCCCGCAGCGTGAGCACACAGCCAGGCCCAGGCAGCCCCTCCCCGGTGAGCGTGGGGCCCCCCACTGGCCAGTGTGCACTCCTAGTCGCACCCTCCCCCGTGACAGCAGCAGCCCTGGGCTGACCGGGCCCTCACTTACTCGCAAACAAAGGTGCCCAGTGGGATGTCCTGCAGGGACCGCACGCCCCAGCCCATGTTCTGCGTCCGATAGAGCTGCAGCCTCGTCCTGGAAAACAGGATCAGCCACTCACGGCCACGTTCCACCACACTCAGCTCACACTCATGTCACCACACAAGTGACAGGAGTAAAAAACACAGAAAATACAACTTTCATGTCTGGAGATGCGTTAGAACTTCGCATGCAATGCAGCAGTGACACCTAGCGTTACCCCACCCCAACCGCGCCCCTGCACCAAGGCGCCACTCACAGCGTCCTTCACACCCTCAGGAGGCAGGGGAACCTCAGACACCAGCCTGAGGTCAGCGCGTGGAACACGGCCCCCGGCCCTCCCTGAGCCTCAGTGCCCTCATCGCCAACGTGTGACGAGGACCAAAGGGGTTATTAGCAGGCCCGCTGGTCCCAGGCTGCAATGCAGGCGAGCTCGGGCAGCGTGCCAACCACAGGGCTGAGCTGGCCCCTGGGGGCAGCTGCGGGGCCCCTCCCAGGCCCCGAGAGCTAGGGCATCCCGCCAGCCATTTGTGTGTCCAGTGGCGTGTCTGTCCTCACACCCAAGGCCTTTCTGCCACACGCCAGGACACAGAAGTATGGGCTGGTCACAAGTGCTGTAAGGTTACACTGATATTAATAGACCCCAAAATACCGTATAAACTTACATAGGATACAAATCCTCCCTCGTAACCTTTGATTTTCCAACTCTCGAGCATGTTCACGGAGGGAAGTTTCATGACCAGAACCCCAGGGTCTGGCTCTGGGTGGTCAGTGAACCAAGTGCCCGAGTACCAAGTGGCGACATGTTTTACGTGAGACTCAGTACGTGGGTATGAGGGAAGCACATGAGTGTTCACACCAGATCAGGACCTCGTGAGCTTGGACCACACAGCTCTTGGCAAGCCTGCCTCTTGCCTTCGGGCCGTCTGACCTGAACCCAAGTCTGAGCGGGTAGGAAACATGGAAGGCTTCCGCTCTTTACGTCAACCTCTATAGCATCAGCAGAGGCCAAGGGCTCCGAGAAAGCCACCTCCACGTGCAAACACACACACGCTAAACACACGCTGCTCCCGTTTGTGGACACACACGTGAAACTAGAGAGCTGCCCAAGGGACTTGACTGCTTTCAAACTTTACCACGGAGACCCTGGCGCCAGCCCGCGGCACCTCACCTGAGGCCGTTTTGCACGACGCGGTTCCGGCAGGTCCTCCAGCAGGAGCAGGCGTGGTTGCACTCGAAGAGCAGGGGCGGCTCCGCCATGTTGAACTCGGGCAGGAGCCGGCCATCCTGCGGACAGACGCGTAGCGAGGGCTAAGTAACTGACACCAACATGCCTCCTCAAATCAAAACACCGCCCCAGAAAGCATGGTTTCTGGCCAAACTCCACACCTGGGAGGACAGGGTAAGGCCACACGCTCACGCTTTGTCCAAGGCCACGCAAAGTCTCTGGCCAGGAATCTACATGGCTTTTGGAAACCTCTGGGACAGCTCTCCCTGGTCCCTGACTGTGGCCAGCCTCTCTGCCCCAGTCGACCTCCCCCCATCCCCGTCATCCTCTCTCAGCCTCCCTGAGGCCATCAGCTCGTGGGCCCCTGGACTCCTGCTCTGCAGCCTCCAGCCTGGACCCCCTGCCAGCACCACCTGCCACTCTGCAAACCCCCAGCTCCCGAGGGACCTGTCACCGCTTTTCTGTCCGACACCCGAGACGCAGCAGAGACGCTGGGCTGAGCCGAGGCTGTGCAGCCGCGTCCGAGGCCCTGCCAGCTCCAGTGGCTGCTCTGAACAGTTAAGAACTTGCCCCCTCTCAGCACGGCCAGGCTTCGCAGGAAACACCAGGAGACCTGAGCCCCGCCAGTCCTGCCCACGACACCTGAGCCTCTTGTTTGGACGACACTCTTGACGCCCCCTTTGCTGTAATGTTGACTCTGTGCCAGTGGCCTCCATGCCGGGCCTGTGTGCCCTCTCCATTCCAGGACACCCTGAACTCCCCAAAGCAAAGCCAGGGAGGGCTCTCGTCTCAGAAACCGGCCTTGGGAGCCCTTCTCTCCTCGGCTCCCTCCAGGCCAGGCTCAGGGATGGCCACCTCTGCCGCCCAGTCAGTTCCCTCTGGCCACCCCCAGGGCCCACAGAGAATGCTGGCTCCATCCCCAGTACCCGGCCTCGGTCCTGCCCCTATCCCCTGGTGGCCTCTGTCGCTCCTCCCCAGCCAGGCCCCCACGCAGGCTCACCTTGTCGTACCAGCAGCGCATGCTCAGCTGGCCGCACATGCAGTTGCTGGAGGAGCAGTCGTCGATGCACACGCAGTACTGGAGGGAGGGGCGTGTCAGATGGAGCCCCGCCCCGCCCCCCAGTGCTGTTCACAACTCCAGTGACAATCCTCAAAATTCTGACTCTTGAGGACACGGGGGGCGTGCAGCCCCTCAGGAAGGAGGGTGTGGAGAGAACGCTCAGGCACGAGGCCTCGGGGGCTCGCAGGAGGGGCTGGGGAGGGACCCAAAGGAGGAAAGGAGGCTCAGACACTGGGTGGGCACAGCCCCAGGAGGGGAAAGACCGGGGCAGAGCCACTGCGGCCCTGAGGGCACCCCTCCCCGCTGCCCAGGCTGCTCTGGGGGCCGCAGAGGCAACATCCCACAGCAGGGCCCCCCCCACCGCTGACCTGCAGGTGGGTAATGTTCCTGTCGATGTTCATGGGGGACGTCACACAGTTCTGAGACACGTACTTATAGTTGCTGGGGCACGGCTCGCTGTCCACACCGTTGACACACGGTATGGGGATTCGCTCATAGCCCCGAGCGATGTCTCTGCCGCAGGAAGGGGCCGTCAGCTTTCCCGGTGAGCCCTGGCCCAGCCCAGAGAGGCTTCCGCTCCGACCCTCAACCCCGCCCGGAGGCAGGCCCTGCCTCGTGCTCCTCACCTGCTCACCGTCTTCTCCACCAGGGCGGGCCTGTCAGGGGCTGCATCGCGCAGCGCCTGGCTCATCTGCAGGGCGCTCCACACCTGCGAGTTGAGACTGGCGCACTGCAGGGGCGTCTCCCCCTCCTTATTCTTCAGTGTGACGTCGGAGTCCCGGGACAGGAAGAGGCTGGAGGGAAACGCAAGTCCACAGAACATTCAGATCTTAAGTCAAAAGATACAAGGATGAGCTTCGCACGATGACAACGATCAGTAAAAATAAGGAGGAAACGGCATCCGCTTTCAGATGAACCAGCTCACCGGCCGGTGCTTCTGCTCACCACGGACAGACATCATTACTCTTCTCCCCCGTTTACTGTCAAAAGTCCTCCTTTTCCTCTAAGGGAAGAGCATGTAAATAACTAGGGATGGTAGTTGATTTTTCTTGGCTTTTCCGTTCAAAGGCAGCCTCAGGATGAAAAGGGCAGCAATGCCTAGCCGGCCACGTACTCAGTTAACGCCCAGTAGGCAATCCGAGGCCTGACCCAGTCAGGGCCAGATGGTGCGCCGGAGCCCTGTGCCCCCAAGGTCCCTATCTGAGAGGCCGAGGGCCCCACCACAGGGGCATCCCCTAGTCCCAGGCCCCCATGACATGAGAAGTGGGGGCCACTCCTCCCTGAGCTACCGCCAGGAGCAGAGCAAAGGCTCTGGACCTGACGGCAACGGGCAAAAGTGATGCAGGAGGGGCTTCCGGTGGTGGTGGTGGGCTCCCAGCCGGCCCTCCAGCCCTCCCGCGGGTGCCGCTCCTCTGGCCCCGAGCAGAGGTGTTAGGACGGGGCTCCGCTCCACGTGTGACCTGCGTATTTGGGGATTTCCACCACGATCCTCCCGAAGCCACGCTGACTGCAGGCGTGAACAGAAGAGCCTCGTCCGCCGCAGAAAGTCCCCAGAGCACCCGGAGCCACTCACACGACACAGGCGTAGCGGTCCTCCCTGGCGGCGATGTGCAGGGGCGAGTCTCCATGGATGTTCACGGCGTGGAGGTCGCACCTGGCGGCCAGCAGGATCTCAGCGATGTCCACACAGCCCGAGAAGGCCGCCCAGTGCAGGCAGATGTTCTCCTCCTGCACGGAAGACACAAGCACGTGAGGCCGAGGGGGCGGTGCGGCCCACCCGACAGAGGCTTCCTTTCCATTTTGTCTTGTTTTCGTTATAAAAGTACATTATCGGGCTTCCCTGGTGGCGCAGTGGTTGAGAGTCCGCCTGCCGATGCCGGGGACACGGGTTTGTGCCCCGGTCCGGAAAGATCCCACATGCCGTGGAGCGGCTGGGCCCATGAGCCATGGCCGCTGAGCCTGTGCGTCCGGAGCCCGTGCTCCGCAGCAGGAGAGGCCACAGCAGTGGGAGGCCCGCGTAATGCAAAAAAAAAAAAAAAAAAGTACATTATCATAGTACAGAATATGTTAAAAATAGGAGAAAACATCAACCTCAATTAGACCACCCTAAACACGACACGTTAAGTAATATAACATCTAGAGATAGTTTATTTTTTAAATTATATTGACTCTGGAACACAGTTATGATTGCAGGATAGAGTAATACTTGTACAAGATTTGAAAAAGAGCCTCGGGAACCGTCGGCCTTGCAGGCCGGGCAGCAGCGCCTGCGGGCCTGTCGCCGGGCTCTTTGAGAGTGTTGGAGGGAGTAAAAAAAAAGATTTGAAAAAGACAAATTTGATTAATTAAAAATTTTATTTCATGAAAAACTAAAAACTTTAAATGACGCAAAGAAAACTTCGCAAAATATTTGTGCCATATGTGAAACATATGATTTCCCAGGTGTAGATTACATACGTGATGACGAAACCTCCACATGAAGTTTATCAGAAGACTACAATGTTTCTTCTTAGTAAGACTACAATTTTGAACAAATAAATGTGGAAAGAGAAGGAAAATAAAAAAAAACTTACATAAGATAACAGTGAAGAATAACCCTAAAAACAAGAAAACGTCTAAACAGGAACCACCGTACATTCGACCTGCCACACTGGGGACACAGCGCGAGGAGAGCCACGCCCGCCCACGCGGCCGGCTGGACAGCCCAGGAGCCCAGCCGCCCAAGGAGCAGCACCCAACCCCCCCCCCCCCCCCCCCCTTGCTCCCCACCCCCCCCCGTCTCCCTTCCTCCCTCAGGGACGTAACCAGTGACGCTGTAGCAGTTCTCTTTCTCTGAGTTAGCCTCAGAGATGGGGCCGCTGCTGCCTGTTCTTTCTGCTCTGCGGGCAGGGAGTGTGCTTGGCTCACACAGCCGACCCCTTGGGAACCACCGGGACCAAAGCGCAGCCTGGGCCCTGGGGCGCCGCCCACACCACCAAGGGGCGCAGCACGTCCGGGCGACCGGGGCACCCCCTGCACTGCCCAGCGCCCCATCCCAACACCCGCGTACATCCCACGCCTCCAGCTTAACCAACTTCAGGAAAGACAGAAGCGAAGCAGGAGCTAAGTGGTCTGTGTCTGTCACCCTCGACATCATCGGTCTGTTTCCAACGGAGAAAACTAAGGGCTGGCCCTGCCGTCAGCCCCGGGGTGTCCTGAAAAGCTGGGGCTTGTCTGGCCTCCCCTCCTGGGCATTACTCTCAGAAGCTCTCTACCCTCTGGCTTCCACCTTCTGCACATCTGCAAGCTCCTAGGTGAAACTGCAGTCTCCTGAGGGGCCTCTTTTCTCTTTCCTTCATCAGAACGATTTGTGACTTTATCACCAGAATTAGGTTCTGAGAACTTCCCAGGCCCCTAAGCCCTCCTGCCGGGGGGACTGTGCCATCTCCCAGCCTCTCTGAGGTCCACCAGCTACGTTACGACAGGCCTACACATCTGATGGGGCTTCCAGCAAAGACGGGGCAAGAGGGACCACACTGGGTTTACCCCCCTCCACACCTGAAAGAACCAGAGTAAGACAGAACAGTCAAAACGTGTGCAATAACAGTTTTCAAGAACTGGACACCAGGCAGTGAAAGGCTGCCCCCCCGAGAGGAGCAAGGGAAGAACTGGACACCAGGCAGTGAAAGGCTGCCCCCCCCGAGAGGAGCAAGGGAAGAACTGGACACCAGGCAGTGAAAGGCTGAGCCCCCGAGAGGAGCAAAAGGGGGCCTGTGGCCACCTGCTCACTGTTCCTCTCGGGCTCCAGGCCAGGGCAGCCAGGGCTGCAGAGCAGGCTGTGGGGCTGGGAAAGAGGCCTCTGGAGGGCTGTACGCTCCAAACCTGGACCTCCAGGAGGACACACCCCTGAAGCCAGGTGTAGAGGGCTCAGCACTGGCCCCACACAGGAGGGATGAGCAGCCTCGGGCCGAGACCTGCTCAGACCACCTAACAAACCTAGAAAGTGAAACCCCAAATGACCAGACCATTCCTAGGTCACTTTGCTGCACCCAGAGTAAGGCTCACAACAGTTCCAGGAACACAGAAATTCCCAGCAAGGTAAATTCGCAACGTCTCGTGTCCAGCGCAAGGTTACCAGGAGTGCAAAGACGCAGGAAACGTGACCCACAATGGGGAGCAAAACCAACGAATCAAACCCAGAACTGACACAGACCAGCAAACGAGGGCATCAAAGCAGCTGGAATAACTGTGTGTTCAGGAGAGACACATTTCAGAAAATACCAAGAAGACCCAAGCAGAATGTTCAGAACTGAAAACCATGATGACTGACGTGAAAGCACGCTGGATGGAATTAACAGCATAACAGACGCTGTGGAGGAAAAGGCTAGTGAGCTTGAACACAGAGCAATAAAACCAGCTGAGCAGAAATCCAGAGTGTAAAAATAATTTCAGAAAATGAAAAGCGCTTCAGTGAGCCGTGGAACAACTTCAAGCCCCCTGGCACACGCGGACCTGGGGCCTCGAGAAGTGGAGTAGGGGCAGAAGCAGCGCTGGAAAAAATGACTAGGAAATTTCCAGCTTGATAAAACCCCACACCCACAGACCCAAGGGGCTCCACGAAGCCTAAGCGCACTTGTGCACACACATAGCACCAGCCACCTCATAATCAAACTGCTGAACTCCAGTGATAAAGAGACAATCTTAAAAGCACCTGAAAGAAAAAAGACGTGGTACATACAGAGAAATGAAGACAAGGATGCCACCAAGACTTTCTCACTAGAAATGCATCGAGTGAGAACTCAGGAAAGCAGAATGTTTCAGGTACTGAAATTAAAAACTCTCAAGTTACAACTCTATATCCAGCAAAATACCTTTCAAAAGTGAAGGAAAAGGGCTTCCTTGGTGGCGAAGTGGTTGGGAATCCACCTGCCAATGCAGGGGACACAGGTTTGAGCCCTGGTCCAGGAAGAACCCACACGCCATGGAGCAACTAAGCCCGTGCGCCACAACTACTGAGCCTGCGCTCTAGAGTCCGTGAGCCACAACTACTGAGCTCACATGACACAGCTACTGAAGCCCATGCGCCTACAGCCTGTGCTCCGCAACAAGACAAGCACCATAATGAGAAGCCCGCGCACCACAACGAAGAGTAGCCCCCCCTTCTCCACAACTAGAGGAAGCCCGCGCGCAGCAACAAAGACCCAATGCAGCCAAAAATAATTTAAAAAAAAAAAAAAAGTGAAGGAAAGTAAGGACTTCGCAGGCATTAAAAAGCTGAAAGAATCCATCACAAGCCGCCCAGCACAGCAGGAAATGCTAACGGACATGAGACGCACAGAAGCAAACAGCAGTGGATGGACGGACCTGAGGAAGAGGTGACCACGGGAGCTGACACGCCAGGATTATTATAGCCTTTTCCAAAGGTCACCGTTGTTTAAATAAACAACACTACTGTGGTGTTTATTTAGTAAAATGCACGAGAGGAACAGCATAAAGCTGGGAAGGGAGAAATGGAAGCTAATACTGGGAGGTTCTCCTTACAGGTCCTGAAGCTGCATCCAACAAGAGCACGACCCCAGCACTAAGACAGACCCCAGGTCAAGACCCAGAGGACTGAGTCCGGCCACAGGGCAAAGCCAATCTAGGGAGAAAGGCTGCTTTCTAAACACACTGCTGGAGTAGCTAGAGGTCCACACACCAGAAGAAAGAGCCTGGTCCCTACCTCACACCACGTATGGACATTAACACCTAAACCTAAGGGACTGCGATCGAAACACAGACAGTCTCTAGGGTCATGGGTTTGGCAGTGAATTCACATGATTCATACAAAAAGTAACTGATAAACTGGACTTCACCAAAATTAGAAACATGTGCTCCTCCAAAGACAATGGCTAGGATTTATGAGACACATTATCTGGTAAAAGACTTGTATCCAGAATACACAAAAACTCTCCAAACTAGAGAATAAGAAGCCAAACAATCCAGTAATAAACGAGCAAAAGACCTGAACAGACCCTTCACCAAAGAAGGTAAGGCCGACTACATTAAGTGCTGGGGACACCGGAAAGGAACCAGACCCTCCTACCCTGGAAACGGCTGCACCCACAGGAGTGGCAGCGCCTGAGCAGGAAGGCCACAGCCCCACCAGGGAGCCCGGCCATGATCCACAGGCGCAGGACAAGCAAGCGGACGGCCTCTCGCAGCAACAGAAAGGGAGGGGGGCCCACGCTCAGATGGGACTACGAGAAGCGAGGCCGCGACAGGAAGCAGGTGGGCTGGTCACGTCTGGTTAAGGGGGGCTGGTTAGGAGGCACAGGAGGAAACCGAGGGGTAAGTGACATCCACTGTCCTGGTTGTGTGATGGTGGCTGGGGTTAGAATTTATCTAATTGTACACTTTAATAGCACAGTCTGCCAGCCATACTTCAATGAAGCTATTGAAATAAAACAATGACGCCGTTTCATCATATAAATAACAAACACACGACTCAATCAGTTCTTCCAATCCCTCAGAACAACCAGAGCCTACACTGCTGGATGCTGCGAGGCCGTGCGCTGCCCATGTGCCCAGACGGTCCAGTCCCGCCCAAGCACCCAGGGCCGAGGCTGCTCCAAACCACGACCCCATCCCTCGAGGAACAAGGCAGAGCGTGACTGCCGTGTGCTGTAGCTTCCCCGGACCTTGTCGCCTCCCTCCGCGCCACCCTCACCTGAAGCCCCCAGGGCTTCCCGGCCCTCAGCTGCTCTCGTCCCAGGGCCCAGCTCTGTGGAGTCGGCAAAGACGTCCCCAACCAGCTGTGCCTGGCCCTCGGCTGGGAGCTGCTGCTCCTGTTTCCTGGGTGTGGGAGGGTCCTCACACGGAGCAGCCAGGAGGACCGACCAGCCACTGCTCCCATCCTTTCTTCAAACAGTCCACTAAGGGCTCCGAACTGAGGGGTGGGCATGCCTTCCTGCCTTATTCCAGTATCAGTTTAACGAGCGTGTGGCTAGACTTCCTACTTATGGCTTGGGTAACGCTGTAAAGGTGGACACAGCTCCACAGGCCACACCCTGTCTGTGTCCCAGGAGCCCTGTCCCTCCGCCTGGGAAGCAGCACAGGGGCTCGTGCCAGAGCAGCCCCCCAACTCTGCCAGCCCTACCACCGCCCCGGTGCTGTGGGTCCCTGAAGCCCGCCCGAGAAATTCCCCTTTGAGTTCATCAGATGCGCCTGGTGCTGCCTGTGACCAAACAGCTCCACTGATACACAGCAGGGGGCTGTACCCAGAGGGACTGGCGAGTCCCCCGACCTTGGCCCAGGAGTGGGGTGAGCCCTGGGGCCTCGGACGTCACCACAGACATGGGAGCCAGTGTCTCTAAAGACCTCCAAAAATGCAGCTCTGCCCGAGGGGCAGGTCTCAGGGAACTGTGCCCCTCGGTTCACATCCAGCAGCTGGCTGACACACAAGATAACCACTGGAAACCGCACTGGGTCAACACATGGCTGGCGACTCAAGGGGAAGAGGTCAGAGCCACAGGCAGGTGCTAGGACGCTGCCACCCAACACACCCGTCCCCAGTCCTCCAGGGTCCGCCTCCCGGGGGAGACTCACGTTGTCCCGGATGTTGATGTCAGACCCCTTGGACAGCAGCAGTTTCACAAGGTCCACGTGCTTATACTCAGTGGCCCAAATCATGGGCGTCCAGCCGCCATCATCCTGATTTCAAAAGAAAGAAACAAACATCCATCACAGCTCCTCGAGACACAAGACGTGAGGCACCTCATCACACGGGACCTGCAAGGAGGCCCCAGGGGGCGGGAGCCAGCCTGAGTCCCCATTTTGTTGGAGGAAACTGAGGCTCAGAGCGCTGCCTGGGGATCCCAGCGAGCAGGCAGGGCCCACCGGGCAACTCGACACACCTGTGCACACATGACAGCGTCACCTAAGAAAAAGGCCTGAAGGCCACGGAGCAGACCCAGCTGCAGAGTCCGTGCCCGGCTGGCAGGAAGCACTGACCGGGACGCACCTGCCCACCCTTCTGGTCCCAGGACAGACTCCATGCACGAAGCAGGAGCAACAGCCAAGAACTACAGACAGACAGACGGATGGACATCAGGCCCAGAGATGAATGGAGGCCATGAAAAGTCCCAGCCTCTTCTTTAAGGGCCGGAGCAGAAGCTCACCAGGGCTGAACCCCCTGCAGGCTGGACCATGGCTGTGATGAGCTGGCTGTGCGCCGCTCTACCCCAGAGGCGACTCTTAGGAAACGAGTATTACGGTGCCAGTTCCTGCTCTGCAAACACTCTAGCACAACATTCTCCACTTTCCAGTCGCCACATTTTCCTGGTGGATGCACACGGCCTCCATGACTAAAGAGAGATGGTCCCTGCAGGCCTACCATGGGCACTGGGGACACGGCAGGGGCAACACAGCCCAGCCTGGGGGAAGAAACTCACAAAACCCGACCGAGTGGGAGATAAAAAACCAAAACAGGGGAAGGGGGCCCGTGGACCCCACTAGAACAGAGGTTGGAAAAACCACACTGCAGGGAGCTGCATTTCTGGTCCGTCTGGGAGGGTCCCACAGCCAGGGTGGTGGGCACGTGAGCTGGGTTAGCAGCAATGGCTGGGCCAGAAGATGAGGGGGTGGGCTGTGATGGGAGATGGTCATCCCAGAGCTTCAAGTCATGGGCGGGCGGGGTCCTAGGGAGCGGAAGGGGGTCTCGGAGGACAGGAGGGGCCCCTGGTGAGTTAGAAGGCCCCACCCTCATTGGCTATCCCCAGCCACTCACTCGCTCAGCAGACACGCACAGGACCTGCTCTGTAACCAGGCACTGCAGGTTACACAAACACCACGCCGGGGTCCTGACAGCAGGTGGACAAGAAGCAAACACACAGGGAAGGAGGTGGAATGTCCAACAGTGGCCAGTGCTGGGAGGGACGATGAGCTGCCACGGAGGTGGCACGGCACACAGGAGGCCAGAGACCCTGCTCAAGTAGCAGCATCTGAACACAGGCCACATGGAGACCAGGGCAGCCCAGGCGGACACCTCAGGACAAGCCTGCAGCTGGGCAGCGGCACAGAGCTTGGTGAGCGGCCAGTGGGCAGGCCAGGAGGGAGGTGGACGGGGGCGGAGGATGAGGCCAGGCCTTCCAGGACCTGGCAGGGGTGGGGGGTGGGGTGCCTCGGAGGGTGGAAGGGGCCAGGATCACCACGAAGGAGGACCACACCTCTGGCCAGCCCGTCAGGTGCCGTCACGAGTGGAGGAGGTGGTTTACCTGACAGTTGACGTCCATCTGCCCATTGGACAGCAGGTACTGAACCACATCATAGTGACCTTTCTTGGCAGCCAGGTGCAAACAGGTGGAGCCCTCTGCGTCCTGCAACACAAATGCATTTAGGTCCCGAGAAATCACAGCGTGATGGGGCAAGCTCGCCGTGCAGCCTGACACTTGTCACGGCGGCTGACCACCTCCAGGTTGCGTCCGCTGGCCGCCGGGCACACCTCCTAGATGGTTTTTAGCTCCATCTTCTCAAGGACACTAAGGGTGCCACGTTAACTGAACCATCTCAACAAAAAGCCTCCTTCCAGATCGCCAGTCTGAATGCAACGGCTATTATGCTGACACCGCTCAATACTTTTGCTACATGTGTGTGTATCCACAAATGACGGTTTTATGTTTTTAAATTGTCTATAAATAACATATCATACACCTGTCTGCAATTCATATTTAGTCCAACATTATGGTTTGGAGATTTCGCTTTGTAGAGAACACACAGCACTAGTTCCCTTATGTCAACTGATGTAAAACTAGCCCAGTTTGTGCATTTGGTCGAGGAAGACTCGTTTTTCACCAATATTCACCAAACATTGCAATACATTTCCCGGATTCCTCGTGCAAGAGTTGCCCACGGGGTCCCCCAACACCGAGACCCCCCCCCAACAATGACACGCATGTGCTGCTCCCCCAGGCGGGCTCAGCTGTGGGCTTCACGGGATTCTACGGCCAGGGAATGGGGTGTCTTGGGGGCTTGAAAGGCAGGCGCCTTCCCGGCATATCCCGGTCACACATCTCTCCAGGGAACTGCCTGGTCACCTTCCTCACCCATTGCTTCCGGTTACTTTCTTTCATCTGTAGGAGGCCCTGATGCCCTCTGGCTGCAAAACCCTCTCCCGGTTGTAGCTGCCCGTCATGTACCTTGTGACATCTTTTGTTGACCAGAAATTCTGAATTCTAATGCATTTGACTTTATCAATCATTTTTGTACTTTTGTCTTGTTGAAGAAATCTTTCCCGACGCTGGAATCACAAAGCTAATCTTCCCTCTTAACCTCCAAAAGTTCTGTAATTTTGCCTTTTGTGTTTGATTCTTCTGTTTGCCACGTGCCTGACGTGTGCCCTGACCCTGCTCACTCAAGCCTGGTCCGCGTGTTAGCGTGTGTTCTCCAGGGAAGCAGAGCTGGTTCTCGCCTGCTCACTGGCTCAGACAAACGTCTGCCCTTGGCTGGAGGGCTTCATCCTCTGACACTGGATGTAATTACGACACGGTTTTAGGGTTAGATGACCACCTTCCTATTTGTCCTACCTGTTTCTAGTCCTCTTTTCCTGCTTTTTAGTTACACAAGTATTTTTTAACATTCCGTTTTACTTCTTCTACTAGCTTTTTAAAAAGTTTTCCTGAAAGCTATACTTCTTTGAAATTATTGCCTTAATGTTCTGTAGGGATCACGAGCTTCAACTTTCCCATCCACTTAGGTCAGTACTTATTCCCTCCCAGGAAAGAACTAAAACCCAGGACCCTGCTCACATCCACCACTGGCTCCCCCTGTGCTCCCGCTGTCCTGTCTCACTTCCAAGTTTGTGTAAACTCCATCTTACAATATTCTTCTTGCTTTAAGCAGCCTTTGTCTTTTAAGAAACTTAAAGAAAACAAGTATTTACCATTTCTAGTATTTTCATTCCCCAAGAACGGGATTTTCCTCCCACAAGCTTTAGTGTAAACCTGCTGGTAAGTCCTATCAGCTTTTGTGTACCTGAAAATGTTTTATTTCACAAGTGCTTTCTGAAGGACGCTTTTACTGGCTGTAGCATTCTGGGCTGACAATTTTTTTGAGGTTTTTTTCTTCCCTTTTAGCACAATAAGAATATCACTCCATTGTCTCCTGGCCTCCGTCGTTTCAAATGCAAAGTTGGCAAATTCTCGTAATGTTCGCTTACACGTATTATGTGTTTTTTCTGGGGCTGTGTTAAGGTTTTCGACAGTTTAACATGATGTATTTAGGTGTGGCAGCCTTAGTATTTATCCAGCTTGGGGTCTGCTGAGTTTCTTGAATCTGTAGGTTATTTTTCACCAAATTTGGGAAATTTATGACCATTTTTCCTTCAATAAATTTTTTTCCACTGGGTTTTCTCTCCTTTCTGGGACTCCAATTACACATCAGACAGCTCAATGTTGTCCTACAGTCTGCTTTTCAGACAGAATGGTTTCTCTGATTGGTCTTGGATTTCAAGGACCCTTTCTTCTACAGCACCCAGAGTGCAAGCTCATCGGTGAACTGTCTACTCCAGACCTCCTCCAATCACTTGTCCTGCAGGCTCCAGCTGCTTCTGTAAAGCCCTGAACACTGACCTCTTGCCTCTTCAGTGGTGCTTTGCTTGGGCGCTGGCTCCTGTGACGAGGCTGGGAAATCGTCCCCTGGCCGAGAACTGGGCAGAACTCACCCACCCATCCTAACGGAGAGGATTAATAACAGTTATCTATAGATAGTCATAGAAAAGCTAAAGGTTTCCAGATCTCAAAAACCACCAAAAGCAAAGGACTAAATACCAGCTTGAAAAAATATTCACAACAAATGTAAATAACTACATACAAAAAAAGTTAACTTTGAGAGAAGCAAATTAAAATAGTAAAAAAAAAAAAAATCATTTTTGCATATCAAATTGTTAATTTTTTTTTTAACTGTAATGATCGGCACTTGTAAGAGTACAGGGAAACGAGTGCTCAGACACTCCCGGATGCAATTCAGAGAGAGGGATCAAAAGCCTTAGAAATGATTATATATTTTGATCTAGCAATTCCACACACACACCCAGAAATCTGTCTTAAAGAAATCAAACGTGCAAAGATTTAGCTATGAAATGTCTGTTGAAGCATTCTGTACAATAAAAACTGAAAATAACATAAATATTAAACAGTCAGCAAATCTAAAAAAATGACACAAATTGTATCATGAAATACAACACAGCCACTTGAAATAATGTTATAGAATATTTAATGACATAGAAAAACGAGTGAGAAGTTAATTTGATGGGAACAAGGAGTTGATAAATTAGTATGAACAGACGATCATTTTTTTGTTGTGTATTAATTTGAAGGGCTGTGGGATTTAGCATTTTTACTGCTATTGCGTGTGTGTGTACATGACATAAAACTTGCCCTTTTAACCATTTTAGAGTGGTTCAGTGGCAACATGAATTGCTTTCACAGAGCTGTACCATCACCACACTCTATTCTCAAAGCCTGTCCATCAGCCCAGGCAGAAGCTCGGTCACCACTCAGCAACAGTATCCCCCCCTCACCCCGGGTAACCTCCAATCTACTTTCAGTCTCTAAATCTGCCTGTCCCAGGTTCCGCACATAAGTGGAATCATACAATATTCGTCCTTCTGTGTCTGGCTTCTTTCACTCAGCATACCGTTCTCAAGTTCACCTGTGTTGCAGCCTTTGTCAGAATTTCCTTCCTTTTTGAAGTAAGGCTGAATAGCACTCCATCATATGGATGGACCACATCTGGCTTATCCATCGCCCGTCAATGGACACTGGGTTGCTTCCACCTTTTAGTTACTGTAAGCAATGCTGAGAACAAGGTGTGTACATACCTGTCCGTGTCCGCGCTTCCTGTTTCTTTGGGCACATACCCTGGACTGGAATTGCTGGATCATATAGTAATTCTATGTTTAACTGTTTGAGGAGCCACCAAACTGCTTTCCACAGTTAACTGCATCATGTTACATTTCCACCAGCAATATATGAGAATTCCAATTTCTCCACATCTTTGCTAGCACTTATTTTCTGATTTTTAGATAATAGGTGTCCTAAGGGTCTCACCATGGTTTTGACTGCATTTCCCTAATGACTAATGATGTTGAACATCTTTTCACGTGCTAACTGGCCATTCAAATATCTTCTCTGGAGAAATGTCTACTCACACTCTGCCCATTTTTGAGCTGGGCTGGAGTTTGTTATTGAGTGGTAGGACTTGTCAATATATTCTGGATAGTAAAGCCCTATCAGATACAGAATTTATGAATATCTTCCCCTTCTGTGGGTTGCCTCTTCACTCTCTTGAAGAGTGTCCTTTGATGGACAAAAGTTTATAAATTTTGATGAAGTTTAAGTTACCTAGTTTTTCCTTTTATTGTCTGTGCTTTTGGTGTCATACCCAAGAAATGATTGCCAAATCCAATGTCATACAGATTTTCCTGTTTTCTTCCAAGAGTTTTACGATTTTAGCTCTAAGTTTAGGTCTTTGATCCCCTTTGAGATAATTTCTGAATACACTGTAACCTCATCCTTCTGCATGTGGAAGTAGTCCAGTTTTCCCAGCACTTGTGAAAAGACGCCCTCTCCTGCCATTGGATGCTCTGGGCCCCCTTAACATTAATCACTTGATCGTATCTGCGAGGGTTTATTTCTGGGCACTCTATTCACTGTTCTATACGTCTGTCTCTAGGCTGGTACCACATGGTTTTGATTACTGCAGCTCTGTCATAAGTTTGTTTTGTTTTGTTTTGTGGTACACGGGCCTCTCACTGTTGTGGCCTCTCCCGTTGTGGAGCACAGGCTCCGGACGCGCAGGCTCAGCGGCCATGGCTCCCCGGCCCAGCCGCTCCGCGGCATGTGGGATCTTCCCAGACCAGGGCACGAACCCGAGTCCCCTGCATCGGCAGGCGGACTCTCAACCACTGCGCCACCAGGGAAGCCCCTGTCATAAGTTTTGAAGTCAGGAAGTGTGAGGCCTCCAGCTTTGTTCTTTTGCAGGATTGTTTTGGTTGTTCAGGGTCCCTTAAGGTTCCCTATGAATTTTAGGATGGGTTTTTCTATAAGCTGTAAAAAAAGGCATTGGGATTCTGATAGGGATTGCACTGAATCTGAAGATCGTTCTCAGTAGCAATGACATTTTAACAATACACTCGGCACTCAGTATCCACGGATGCAGAACCCACGGATATGGAGGGCTGACTGTACCATTAGGGGACTCGAGCATCGGCGGGTTGCTATCTGCAGTGGTCCTGGAATCAATCCCCCGCAGATACTGAGGGAGGAAGGTACTGTCTTCTTCCAATCCATGAACACCAGATAATTTCCATTTATCTGTGTCTTCTTTAATTTCTTTCAGCATTTTTTAGTGTACAAATCTTTCGCTTCCTCCGTTAAGTTTATTCCTAAGTATTTTATTCTTCTCAATGCTATTGTAAGTGGAATTGTTTTATTTCCTTTTCGGATAGTTCATCACAAGTGTATAGAAATACAACTGACATTTCTGTACTGATTTGGTATCTTACAACTTTCCTGAATGTATTTATTAGTACTAACAATATTTTGTGTGGATTCTTTATGATTTTTTTACATATGAGATCATGTCATCTGTGAACAGAGATCATTTTTCTTCCCCCTTTCCAATCTGGATGCCTTCTATTTCTTTCTTGCCTAACTGCTCCAAACTGAAGACAGAAGAGAGAAGATGTGCCTATCCAAAGAAGGAAGCTGAACACCTCTGCACACAAACTCCCTATCAGATGCTTGACTATCGTCAGGCATAGTGGATCCAGTGCTCACTAGTATTTTCCACAAATAAACCGGTAACCAAGTAAGGTGAACTACCTACTTCCAGACAACCCGGTGGATGCTTGGTGGCTACCGATTTCTGAAGACGTTCCAGCAAGGAACCGGCCCTGTTCCTCTTCACGAGGAGCTTCTACATGAAACAGGGGTGTGCTTCTGAGCAGTGAGTACCTTCGGATCCACGAGGGCCCCGGCCTTGATGAGGTACTTCACCGCGTCTAAGTGGTTGTTTTCTGCCGCCTCCATCAGCGGGGTCCTCTGGTCCTCTGAGCAGGTGTCGATGTTGGCGCCCGCCTGGTGAAAAGAGGGACAGCTCAGGTGTGAGAGCTGCCACCGCAGCCACACCCAGCGAGGAAATATTTCCCAGGCTCAGCACTTGGAAACAGAGGGATCTCAGGGGCTACATTAAGTCTTTCTATCGACTAAGCCTGAATCTTCCAAAGCAGAATTCAGAGACATGGTTATTCTGTAACTATCAAAACTTTAGCTCAAGAAGAGCATTTCATTTCTAAGCTAATTGGGTAGAAATGCTTACAGTAACGTTAGTGACAGCACTTTTAGAAATAAGAAAGAAGGTTAGACCCCAGAACAGACAAAGAAGGGGTGCTGAAGGGGACTCAGCAAGGCAGGGCCAGGAGGCAGGCGGTGGCCCAGCCTGCAGGGACCGTGGGGCCCCAGCTCAGGGGCCTCAGAGACCTCTGTCTCCGGCTGTTCTAAACACCTGCCAAAACAAACTGAAGAAAAACTCATTCCCAGGATGCATTTTCCAATGGAGTGTGTACTTGGAAACCAACGAGCCAGGAGGTATGCTTGGGTAAATCGTCTGTGTGAAACTGAAACGCCCAACCTTAAAGTGGGTTTTCCACTAACAGCAAAGCAAGTGTTTGGCAGCTGAACGATTTAAAAGAGCTAATACTTATAAGGCTGAAAATAGTATCGTTTTTACTACTAGCAATTAAAAAACAAAAGTAACCCAGTTTAGTCAGAAATTTAAAAATAGACCTAGAATGGTACACATGGAAAGCCAGGGGAACTGAGGTGGTCAGGGATGGTGAAGGAGACTCGGCTGTTCCCACGGAGCAGAGCTAACGTCAGAGAGCAGGGGCATCAGGTAGGAGACGAGTGGGGGACACAGGTCAGATGGCCCAACCTGAGCGCGAGGCAGAGCCAGGATTCCACAGCAGCTAACTTTAACAACGAAACTTGGAAAACCACACGAGATAAAGGTGCGGGGTGGGGGGCTGCGTAGCGCTGACGAGGCCAGCGTGGGGTCGGCCATGCTCTGCCAGGCTGCACAGGCCAAGATGTGCCCTCTGCCGGTGAAAGGCCAGGCGCCGCCTGTGACTGGGTGCACACACTTGGCAAGACCCCCCCCACCCCCAAACCACCCTGAACACCCAGGGGTGCGAGAGCCCGGGCCGCAAGCCTGCCCGGGGGACGGCCCGGAAGGGAGGGGCCCACAGGCCAGGCAGCCCCCGACAGGGCCCATATCTGAGAGGCCCAGACGGGCAGATGACCAAGAGCAGAGCCATGGGCCGCACGGTGCAGAGGGTCGGGCTCGGAGGGCCAGGCCCTCCCACCCGACACCCAGGTAGAGCGTGAGGACGGCTGCTCGGTGTGCTTGTCTGAAACCTGCGCCGGCCAGTGACGGCCCCACCCACCAGCACGGAGGCCCCGCACAGGGACATGTGGGCAACCCAGGACCACACCTGGGAAGTCAGCCCAAAGGCTAGTGATCGTCACCAGGAAGAGGCAGGGGTGGTCAGGAGACAACGCGGAGAGATCTGAGACACGGAGGGAGGTGGAAGGAGGGCCTCCACCCAGAGGGAACAGAGGGCCCGGGAGGTGCGGGGCGAGCACAGCCCACGGCACATCCTGGGCTCCCAGGGGGCAGAGCAGCGGTTGTCGCTCTGTCCCTCCCCTCTGGGCCCATGACTGCTAGAAAACGCACCTTTTCCTATTAGTAGATGCCTCCTGGGCTCACGGCCTGCAGAGCAGGCAAAAGCAAAGCAGGCGAGATGGACCCCAGATGCAAGCAAACACTAACACAGAGGGACAGGATGGCGACAGAGCCGGCGAGCAGATGGAGACCCAGGTAGGAGAAGCCAAAGCAGTGACCACAAGTGGGGACACACCCAGGCCCGGGCCCGGAGAGCCGCGCGGCAGGTCACTCTGACCACGGGCGTGCCTGGTGCCGGCCAAAGGTTGGGGCTGGCCAAGGGTACCGGAGGGTGTCAGTGGCGGCGACCAGCACAGCTGCCCCTGACCTCGTGCCCCCGCACACCGGACATGCACCCGAGCGCCCCAGAATGCGTCCTGCTGGGGTTTCGTTTAATGTTGTTATTTACATTAAGTGTCCACCTGTGGCAGGGCCACCGTGCCGCAGTTGCCTGGATGGAGCTGTTTCCAGCGAGACCTCGGCATGAAAATTAAACAGACCGGGAAATACCCAAACCACTCCTCACAGGTGCTCCTCCACTGACCCCAAGCGTGAGCGAGGGTGCCTGCTGCCTGGGACCAAGGGCCAGAGCCCCTCTGGGGGCACGTGAGGTGGGCACCCACCAAAGCTGCGCCTCACCCTCGGATTCGGGGCAAAGCAAAGGAAATCCGTCCCACGTCGGATGGGTTCTGGGGAGAAAAGGACACAAGAGCACAGTCCCCAAGTCGGGGAGTCTGCAGCCTGGGCCACCAAATTAACCACCAGGCTGACAATCTAATCTGAAGTGATGTCAGGCGGTCACGCCTCCAGGCTCCGGGCAGACAGTACAGAGTCATAAAGACTGCTGATGTATAAAACGTTGGTTTTTTCCAAAATACATGTTTTATTCTGCAATAGCTTACAACTCACAAGAGGCTGCAAAACAGAACACAGAGCTCCTGTGTTCTTTGCCCCGGACAGTCTTCCACTATCACGGCCAGTGGGGAGAAGCAGGGAACGGGGCAGCAGTTCAGTGAATGACTCTTAGGCTTTTGCTCTTTGAATGAAAGAGGCAGACAAAGAATTCACACTGTGTGAGGTTTACAAGTGGACAGAGCTGAGCCATGGGGTTGAGGACCTCTGTGGGGCTGTGAGCGCGCAGAAACACACACACCTGATCGTCACAACACAGGCTAGGAGAGCTGCCACGGGGGAGGGACACATGGTGCTTCTGGGGGGCAAGCAGATCAGGCCATGTCCCTTTAGAACCACTCATTAACCAAGACGTTTACGTTTCAATGATTTTTCTGTATGTAGCTCACACACGTTTTTATGTTAAAAAAAAAAAAAAGTTGGGGTGTGGGGGGAATAGATTCTTTCAAAGGAGTGTGAAACTACCTTTTCCAAAGGAAGAATCATGTCAGAAGACCATCAATTGTTCCCCCTCCCCCTCTGCCCCTCCTCTTCTTCCCTCTCCTCCTCCCCCTCCCCCTCCCCTCTGCCCCTCCTCCTCTCCTTCCTCCTCCTTCCCCCTCCCCCTCTTCCCCCTCCTTCCTCATCCTTCCTCTCCCCTCCCCCTCTGCCACCTCCTCCTCTCCTTCCTCCCCCTCCCCCTCATCCCCCTCCCCCTTCCCCCTCCTCCTCTTCTTCCCCCTCCTTCCTCGTCCTTCCTCCCCCTCCTCCTCCTCCCTCTGTCTCAAGACTGAGCAAGTAACAGCCACTTGTTAGAATCACAGAGTGACCTCTGGAGGCAAGAAAGCAAAGACTATAACTTCCAAGCAAATAAAGAGAAAGGAAATGAGACAAAACAAAAGTCAATCCAAAAGGCAGCAAAGGAGAGGGAAAAAAAAAAAAGAAATATTTGTTTTAAGAGGTTGAGAATCAAATCTACAATATAAGAAATCAGAAATAAATTTTAAATGTCAAAAGTTACAGTAAGCATAAGCAGATTGAAGATTCCTATTAAAATACCAAGGCTGTCAGACAGAGCTTTTTAGAAGCTTGGCTACATGCTACTTAAAGAGATCTGTCCAAACGGAGCCTCTGGCGTGAGCCAAACTTGGGAGGGTTCTGACAAATGTCTCGGGTGTTAGAAATCTAAACCAACAGGTAACCCCACTGTACACCACCAATGCAAAAGCAGGCTCCACACTTCATACAAGCACATCTTAGTCTGTGCACACAGCACAGGTGAGAAGAGGATGAAGCAGACACTCCAGGCCGACAGTGACACAGAGCAGCTGTGACTAGACAAGAGACCTGGGGGAGGGGGGTGTCCGTCCAGGGCCCCAACAGAGATGCCCACAGGACGGTCCTCTCCAGACACAGAGCCATCCCGAAGCCCACCCGACACGAAAACCTCCAGCTGACGGGCCCCAGCCAAGAGCCCACCACCGGCATTTCAGTCCTTTCCTTTACAAACAAACAGGATCCACCAGGCATTTGAGGGAAACCTGAAATAAGAAAGACCAGAATGAACAGACCAGTATAAAGCTTCCAAACACTGTGGGAAGACCCAGAGGCTACAGAAAAACGTGGCAGCACAGACGAGACCCCGAGAGGAGCCGAGGGTCACGCCGAGAGCGCCGCCCAGAAAAGCGGGACGGAGCGTGAGTCCAGAAGCTGCAGCAGGTAAACGTAGGCGCTTGCGGAGGGACCTGGAGCCCAGACAGAAAATCTCCCAGACCTGAACCTGGGCTGTGGGGAAACTCCAGACCCGTGGGTGAAAGGAAATTTCCTGAAGGCTCCAGAGATAAACATGTGGCTTAAGGGTGGCCTCCGGGAAACAGGGGCCCCAACACGGGCCAGGGGAGGGATGTCCCAGAGAGCAGCAGCACCAAGAGTGGACGATGTGCTTCCCAGATGACACAGGGCCAGTCTGCCTGCTCGGGGTGGATTGGGGGGGGGGGGGGGGGGGGTGTCCAGGACACATTTACATGACCACGGAACGCAAGCTCTCAGTGCAGGGCGGGGGGTAGGAGGAGGCATGTGCGCATGCCTGGGCTAAACCCTCCCACGCCAGAAGTCGGTGACACTAAAAACCCAAACGAACTAAAGTCAAACACCGAATGGCAGTGCGTCATCTCCAGAGGCGGCGTAACTGGCAGGAGCGGCAGCGGAGGGGCTGAGGGCACTGGGCAGAGCCAGGGCGGGTGGGCCTGGGAGCCTCTGGCACTGCTGGGCGGCCCGGCTCTCGGGCCCCAGGCCAGGCTGGCTTGCTTTGGCGGCCCCAAGAAGACCGCATCTGACCTGAATCAGCATGTGACAGATGTCCACATGGCCGGCCTCCGCTGCAGCATGCAGGGGCGAGCGCTTGCTCTGGTGCTCCATCTTGAAGTTGGGGTCGATCCCGTCAACTGCAAACCAACAGGAGGTGCCGGTTACCGCAGGTGCAGCCCCCAGAGCCCGGGATGGCGCAAGGGCTGGCAAGGCTCCAGGTGGAACCGACAGGCAGGCCTGTGGTCAGATACCCCCAGCACCTGCGCTCCTCCTAGACACCCTCATCTAACTCTGGGTTCCCCCGTCTCTCCCGTCCCCAGGCCTGGGCCCGAGCGTGAGGGTGGCGGGGCCCCAGGATGGATGCTCCACAGGGAGCAGGACCCCCAGGACAGGCCCAAAGGGAAGGCGGTTGCTGAGCACAGCTCCCAGCCTGGAATGGAGACGGGCTACAAGGCCAACCACGGACCGGCAAGGCGAACTCAGCATCGCACAAGGTCCACGAGGAAAATGATTAAAATCGCCATTTCAGTCAACATAAAATAAAACCTTTTTTTTTTTTTTCAGAGCAAATTGTCAAGCTTCTTTCTTGACTTACTGTCAAGTTAAACGATTCTTAATCAGCCTTTTCAAGCCAGAGAAATCAAGCCTACGCTCTGAGCTCAGAATCAAAGCGCTGTCCCTTGCTCCGCAGGAGACGGAGCTGGGAAGGACCCGACCAGTACATTTTCAGGTGTTAAAAACCCATAAAGGCAGATACACACTGAAAACACAAGTGCCAGGTGGGCTGCACCCTGCACACGAGGGCGCCAACTCCATCCACACGGCACAACAGCCCAGCTGGCTAACTCTGCTTTCATGGAGTCGACATCTCTTCTTAACCTAATAATCACATACTTAATTCCTGTTTAAAAATGGGGAATTCCTGGGACTTCCTTGGTGGTTCAGTGGTTAAGACTCTGCACTCCCAGTGCAAGGGCCCCAGGTTCAATGCCTGGTCAGGGAACTAAATCCCGCATGCCGCAACTAAGAGCCCACATGCAACAAAGATCCCACGTGCCACAAGTAAGACCCGTACAAAAAAAAAAACAAACGAGGAATTCCTGGAGAATACTTCCACTGCCGTGACTGAGCATGAACACTGTGAACGGGCTGAACACCAGGGGAGCCCGTGTGCACCAACCAGAGAAACCGGACAGAGCGGGACACGGTGGACAGTCACCGAGAGACGTTGACAGATATGGCCACCTACCCAGCATGAGCAGCACCTTCTGCAGCTCCCCTTGCCGGGCCGAGAAGTACAGCTGCTTCGGGTGGAAGCGGAGCTTCTTGGGTCTGCAGAGAAAGCACAAGACAGCAGTGAGCACAGGCTACACGCACACACACACACGCATGCAGGCACGCGCGCGCGCGGCACCTGCAGGCTGGGAAGGCCTGGGTTGGGCCCACCTGCCCAGCCTCAAGGTCAAGGATGCCACACCCACCAGGCATATCACGGTAAAAATAACCAAAATTAGTGAGCATCTCCTTCACCCACAGCACGAGAATGGTTCCTGAGGTTCTGCATTCTGTGCAGGGCACAGAGTGAGCTGCTTCTTCTCTATAGCATGAGGTCAAGGGACCCCCGAGGTGGTGGAGGCAGCATGTCACACCCAGCTACACCCACCCTCTTCACAGTACAGAGTCTGGACCCGGTGAGTAGGGCAGGGGACTGGACAGTCACCATAAGACCAGGGCTAGAGACCAGGCTGGAGGCGGACAGAGAAAAAGCTGTGGGGACTCAGGAACGTGTCCCAACACTACAACTTCCCGAGAAGCAAGACAGGAAGGTGAAGCTCTGAGGGAGGGAGCCGCGCGGTCTGGCCAGAGCCCTGATCGTGGAACCCCATGACCAGTGGACACCTGTGGGGTCATGGGTCGGTGCACCGGGCCCTCCTGCAGAGCCACAGGTGGGCTGCAGTAATGGGAGCCGCAGGGACAACCGACGGGCCACCTGCTCCAAACTCTCCTTTCAGAGACGAGGAGCCACAGAGTGACACTGGCCCTAACATCCTGAGGTCAGAGCCACGGTCAACGTGTCCAGGGAAACATGTGCCAGAGCCTCCCAGGACTGTCCTCACTATGCCTTCAGAGGATCACTTTGCTCTTAGTGGAACGGACGATAACCTGCAATCGTTTCCCAAAGTAACGGAAGAGAAGGTGCACGGTCCTGATGACCAATGCTAACAGGAGACCTAAGGAAGGCCTCAGCGACCTCCTGGGAATGCCGTGGCCCTGGGGGCGCGGACAGCGGGGACGTGTGGCCCTGGCCAGCACCAGACGCCGCAGGGGGACAAGGACGCGTGCGCAAGTGCCGGCGGCTGACTCATGCAGGAGGACACGGAGGGGAGGAGTCTGCAGGAAGGGAGCGCCAGGCCTTACTTCTCCGAGTCCAGGGCGATGAGCGCGCTCTCCAGGGTTTCCTTCCCAGGTCCCTGGGAGAGGCCGGGCGCTGGCTTCCCCAGCCCGGCCGGCCCCATGGGGTCGAAGGCCTCGGGCACCTGGGGGGCTGTGTTCTGCGGCTTGTCATCCTCTGAGAGCGGGGGTCCAGCAGTGCTTCGGGGAGGAAGAAATAAGTGGAATTCTGAGTTTTAGAGACGTGGAACTCTCCCTTCTTGTGGAAACCAATGAAAACACAAAACATGATTCACTCGGACCCTCCAACGGCACTGCTCTTCTGAGAGTGAAAATGGTCTCAGGTTCACTGACCATCTGTCTGCTCAGCCCCTGGAGGGAAGAGCCCAGACTCAGAATCAAATCCCAGAGAAAAATGGCATTCAGAAGTGAGGGCGGCTTTCCCAGGACTTTTTGCCCAATGTTCAAATATGCTTTAGTGAATGAACTTCAGGTTGAATCTAAAGTCCACTGCCCTCCCAACGCAAGGGACACCTTGGAATTTTGACTCAAAAATCATTAAATTTAGGGCTTCCCTGGTGGCACAGTGGTTGAGAGTCCGCCTGCCGATGCACGGGACACGGCTTTGTGCCCCAGTCCGGGAAGATCCCACATGCCGCAGAGCGGCTGGGCCCGTGAGCCATGGCCGCTGAGCCTGCGCGTCCGGAGCCTGTGCTCCGCAACGGGAGAGGCCACAACAGCGAGAGGCCCACGTACCGCAAAAAAAAAAAACAAACATTAAATTTATAGATTAATACGATTAATACAGAATAATATGAAGGAGTCGACACCATTCCAATATTCAGTTTTGAATGTCTACAATTCGAGTCTCTTAAATGACCTTCAGTGAAGTTTTATAGTTTCCTTTTTTATCAGTGTAGTATCGCTTGCTTTTTCCTAGGTAGGTTACGGGTTTCGTTGCTGTTTTGAAAGGCTCTCTCTCCATCACCCTGGCTTCTAGCTGGACACACTAGTGGGGACGAGGCTTCTGACACCTTTTCTTACCTGATCCTCTGGCTGACTGACTCCATTTAGCTTTATGAGTTCTTCAGCTATTTCTACTGAATACTTCTGAGAAGAAAATTATGTTTCCAATATCAACCCTTCTCTTTTAAAGACTGTTTCTTCTGTGTTCAGCTAGGGCCTCCAAAACATGACGCAGTAAGAGCAGACTACAGCAGCTGACACTAATGTTTCATATCATACACTACACACAGGTACAGATGTTTAGGGACAGGTACACACAGGTACAGATGGGTAGGGACAGGCACGCACAGGTACAGACGTGTAGGGACAGGCACGCACAGGTACACGTGGGTAGGGACAAGTACACACAGGGACCGATGTTTCAGGTGTATACTAACAGCTACCTATGGGAGTACTGTGCTTCGACCGAAAATACTGTGATACCACATCAATTAGGATGGTGTGATACTGGTTCAAAATCAGGCAAAGAAATGTACAAAACTACACTGAGTGCAGAAGAGACATGTGCACAGTGGCAGCGAGCAAACGAAAGTCAGCATGCCTCACAGCCTCACGTGTCAGAAATCACAGCGAGTGTGAACCAGCTGGGAGACGTCTGGCAAGTCGGAAGACATCAGCAACAATTAAAGATGGGCATCGTCAGGTGAACTCTGAGGGCTCAGGGGACGCCGTACCTGCCTGTGGTGGTGTCGGCCCTGCCCTCCACTGTGGAGCCCTTCTCCTGCCCAGGGGCCAGCGTCACGGTGGAGGTCGTGTCTGCTTTTGCGATGGTCACCTCTCTGGCCTTGGAGGTCTCCTCCCCACAGTGGGGACAGTAACTGGCGTTATCGACTCGAGAGGCGCAGGCTTTGTGGAAACGGTGAGAGATGCTGCTCTCGGGCTGACATTCCATAAAATTACCCTAAAAACAGGGAGACCAGAAATCTTCTTTTAATTGGGGCTAATACGCAGAAGAGCAAGCAAAGCCCAGAACTGAGCTCTGTGTGGGGGCAGTAAGCCAGAGCCCGGGGGGCTCCCAGCCCCTCTCCGGGTGAGAAGAAATGATGCCCTGCGTCCACGGGGCCCCTCCCAAGGCACGTCCACACACGTGCTATTTGAAGGAGAGAAAATCCCCATCCCCGCGCCCCGAGGAGGCCGAGGCTCACTCTCCAGCTGCTCTGACCAGGGGACGTGCCGCATATAAGTCCAAAGACGGACCCACGGAAGACACACCCGGGAAGACACTCCCAGAAGCAAAAGCCCGAGGAGGGAGGTGCCGCCAACAGCCCTTGGCAAAGAGCGCCTGACACCATGCCCTCCGGGCGACCCGGCCTCAGGCCAGGGCTCTGGGCCGAGGAGCAGCGCTCTCCCTGGGAACCCCTTTTCAGCAGAAGCAGAAAAGCATGATGAGGATGGCAAGGGCACACAGGCGTGACGTCTGGAGAAGCCCCTGGGGGAGAGGCTCTGGGCCCAGGAACACAAAGGGCCACACGGAGACCAAGTGAGGGCCATGTGAGCCACATGAGCATCTGTGGATGAAGTCACTGATGGAGAAGGTCCCGGAGGCACTGGCGAGCAGGACGCAGTGGAGGGCCAGGCGGCCCTGCCTAGGTAGACACGTGAGCGGCAGGAAGGGAGCCGGGGGCCCAGGTGCCCGCAGAGGCCAAGGGCAGGACAGAGGGGGCCGGGCACTCACAGCGGTGCAGAAGTAGCCGCAGCCTGGACAGCACTGGTGCTTCACCATCCGGCCCCGGTGGTCTTCACACAGCACCAGGAGCGGCGCCTTGCTGGACGGGCGCATCAGCTCATGCTTGACCACGCTGTTCGTGCACCTGCCCAGCTGCAATCAGACGAGACCGAGTCAGCTGCTGCCATGTCACAGGGCGGGGGAGGGGGATGTCAGGAAATCAAAGCAGGAAGGCGGCCGGGTCCTCCACAACGTGATGAAGGGCTGTGCCGCCGGTTCACGGACCAGGGGGTCACGGTGGCCACATGAGGAGAACAGCCTGGGCTAGGGGCTGGGGCATCAAAGGGAACAGGACACATGCCAGGAAGCACGACCAGTAGCGGGGAGCACAGAGAATCCACAGGACCCACCAGCACTCGGGCGGCCCACCTGCGCCCGCTGTCGCCCTGGCGCCTTCCAACAAGGACCCTGGCCTCCTGGCAGCTGGTGCGGGTGACGCACCCCCAGCCCCAGCTTCCTCCTCACCTGTTCCTCAAGGGAGCCCGTTCTCAGAGACTCCATGGAGCCCAGAGATCGGGGGGGGCAGATGGGGCCAATGCCCCCAGGAAAGAGGCCCAGGCGGCTCTGAGGCTGGAACAGGAGGCCACGAGGGAGGGCACAAAATCAAGCTCTCAGCACCAGAAATAGGAGGGAGAAGTGAAATTCCCAGGGAAGCGCTGGGAGACGGAGGGAATTTTCTAAAGTAAAGCAAAAAGTCAAAAATGTGGAAAATGGAGAAGAGGTGAGAAGGCTGGAGGCTCTGCAGAGAGGACCCAGAGCGGGGGCCGGGGCTCCTGAGACACGGACAGCCCGAAGCAGATGGCAACGTGACCAGGACGTGAGAGGAAACTGCGCCCGTGAAGCTGTGGCGACAGGAGAGGATCGGCCCAGACCTTCCCCCCAGGAACCTCCCTCAAGGAGCTGCTGAGGCAACGTGCCCCCCACTGAGAGGGACCGATGTGTCCGAAAACCCTACAAAGTGAGCAAGTCCATCAGTTTGGGGTGGAATCGGTAACAGGCACAAAGGAAACAATGAGAAACGAGGCAATTACTAACTCTGGGAAAAAGGAAAGGTTGCTCAGGAGAGGAAACCCCTGGCCCAGCTGTGGACGCTTCCACGAAAACAGCAAAGAGGCTCCCTCGATCGACGGAGGGAGGGACAGACAGATGCAGACCGCGGTGCGGGGGCCGGGGGGGGGCACCCTTCCCACAGTAAGAACCCTCAGACAACACCTCAAAGGAGAGGTCAGGAAAAGAGGGTAGAAAGCAGGTATTTGAGAACATGGAGAAAATCCCAGGACGAAAAGTAAAAGGGGCCAAGGGTTGCTTGGGGGGAGGGACCCTGAGACCCACCCACGTCGTGGACATTCAGGATCTCCAGCAGCGGGTGGGGGGCAACAAACAGCCACCAGGACGCCCCCTACAACCACCAGGACCCGCGAGGCCATCAGGAGACACAGGTGGAGGCCTCTGACTGGCTCAAGTACACTCAGCGAGGAGGAAGTTCAACAGAAACCGTCGGACCCCAAAATGGGAAGAGAACGCAAGTGCGGAGCCTCCATCAGCTGTAAGACGACATCCCCCGAGCCCGCGTCGAGTGGCTGGTTTCGGAAAGAGAAAAAATAAAGACACTGGGCAGGAACTGATTTTCTAGGAAAACAGAGACACCGGGTACAAGTCCAAGAAGCTCAGAGAAACCTAAAAAGGACAAACACCAAGAGAGAGCAGCACAACCCCACACCTCAGCCTCAGAGGTCAGCGCGGAGGACTACAGCAACAAAGGCCGCGGCCGCTCCTCGGGACCTTCGGACGGCAACACCAACCGACGTCCCGAAGTGCCCAGAATTCTGTACCCATCAAAGTGTCTCTCAAAACTGGAAGCAAAACAAGGACTTTTTCAAACAAACAAAAGAGAATTCATTATGAGCAGACTTGTACTATGGGGGGAAGGGTCCTCAGGCACAGGGACTGTGGTATCAGAGAGAAATCAGATCGGAACAGAGGAAGAACGCTCTGGATGCAGTTTAAATAAAGGGAAACAAGAGATGATTACGGTTACTCAGTCTAAAAGATGAGTATGTACAAAACTAATAGCATATATGAAACTCAAACATATGACAAAAGATGGGAGACAGGACTTGGGCCACGCATGTAAGAGCCTTACGTGTTAAGTGGCACGATGTCAATTCAAGCAAGACCGTGATAAACTAAGGCTGTGTGTTACACACTCCAGAGCAACGCTGAAAACGTGAGGAAAATACATAAAAATAAAGCCAACAGTGGAATAAATTGGAATCAAAAAATTTCAACCTGGGACTTCCCCGGTGGTCCAGTGCTTAAGAATCTGCCTGCCAATGCAGGGAACACGAGTTTGATCCCTGTATCCCTGTCTGGGGAACTAAGGTCCCACATGCCTCGGGGCAACTAAGCCCACGCGCTCTGGAGCCTGTGAGCCCCAACTAGAGAGCGCCGGCCCACGCCGCAACAAAAGATCCCACATGCCACAACAAAGACCCAGCGCAGCGGGGGGGGGGGGGGGGGGGGAGGGGGGGGGGGGCGCGGGGGGACTCAATCCAAGAGGCAGAAAATGAAGAAAAAGGAAGAACAGATGGCATAATTCTTAGCACTATTAAGATGTCAGACTAACCCAACTACCTTGATAAGTGCAATGGGGATGATCCAAGCAAACCACTGGGAAGACAGAGACTATCGGGCCCTGTGCAGGACACGCTGTCTAAAGAGATCTCCAAACATACAGGCAGCACAGGTCTGGCAGCGGTGGGGCGGGGGGGTGTCCTGTGTCAGCACCAGACATCCCGAATCCCCAAGGACACAGTGGACCCCCCCCCAAAACGACAGGAGTCATGTAAAACCGGCCCGAGCTGAAGAGTCGACACCCCTCCCTCGCACAGAAATCAGAGGAGCGTGTTGGTCGCACGATTGTGTGCACCTGTCACACGTGTCACTCGTGTGATCTGAGTCACTCATGTCACTCATGTGACTCAGAGACACACAAGCAGAAAGGTGACCTCAAGTGTGTGAATTATGCCTCAATAAAGCTGATGGGAAGGAGACACAGAACGAAGGAGCTATTAGCTCTGAGGGGCCGCTGCCAGCTAAGGCCAAGGCAACCTGAGCATCGAAAGAGAAAAATATTTTGGGGAACATAGCAGCAGCTTAAGAATTTCCTGGAATCCCACAGAAAAACAGAGCAACTAGACAGCAAAACCAAAACCCAGAGACGATATTTAAACCAAAACCAAAGGCCACAGGATGCAAATGGGTAAGGGTGGGCCTGCTAGACGCTGGTGCCCGGGCAGGAGGAGGGGAGAGGATGGGGGAAGAGGGACACAGCGAAGCAGTGTCTCGTGGACCCAAGGACAGGGGGGAACCAAGATACCAAAAGGTCCTCCCTGGGGCTGAGAAGAGCAGGCAACCTGGGAGAAACCCTGCCCAATCCCAGCAAGTCTGGGTCTGCCTAAGACCTGGGGCCATTGCGGGCCAGCCGCCAGGAACCCTCAAACCCAACGCGCCTGGACCCCCTTCTAGTTCGGGGCACGAGGACACCAGGACAAAGCTGAGCTGAAAGTAAGCAGGACAGGGACAAGAGAAATGAAGAAAAGAGAAGATCGACAACAATGGTTCTCAAAATCTCCGGGTTCAGTGCTCTTTTATACTCCTAAAAATCACCAAAGGTCCCAAAGAGCTTGTGTCCAAATGGGGTACGTCTATTAACATTTACCGTGTTAGAAATTAAGAGAGAAAATTTTTAAATATTAATTTATTTAAAAATAGCAATAAACCTATCACGTAAAGAACGTATTTTAATTAAAAAATTACTTTTAAAAAAGTTAATGAGAAATGTCATTGTTTTATATTGTTCACAAAACTCTTTAATACCTGGTTTAATAAGACAGATGAACCTCATATCTGCTTCTGCATTCAGAGCAGGCAAAGGTGGACGTTCTTCTCTGACACCACAGCAAAACTCTACAAGGGGTAGTTTCTCAAAAGATTTGCTGCAATGTAAAAATCTCAATCCACTGTCCACAAGTTTAGTACCGTTACACTAAAATCCATCCACGTGTCTTGCACTGTGAATGATTTTGTAACACCATGAAAATCACTCATTCCCTGAGTTATACAGGTCTTGCAAACGTACAAAATGCCACTGTACACCCTGTGAAAGAGTAAGTGAAAAGGCACTTAACTTTTCAGTATTGTTATAAAAATACTTTTGACCATGCATATCCCCTAAAAAGAGTCCAATATGAAGAGGGTCCTGCAGGCCAAGGGGTGGAGGGGGGTGAAGCTTCAATAATAATAATAATAACAACAACAACAACGATTAGAACCCGTCAAATCTGTTTAAACACATGAGTTCATAATGATAATTTTAAAAGTAAGAACTGGCCAACCTCAGAAGATGACAGAGAACAAATTCATTACCTGAACGACTGGGAAATAAAGAGGAAGGCTCAAGCACCAGTGCGGTCCTTCCTCTGAGATGTTCTGCTGGCTAACAAAAGAGCAGACGAGATGACAAGGCTCTTCATGAAACCATCCAGCTAATAAATGAGCAGTAGGCGACACAACATCACCGTTTTGGAACCTCTGATGAATTAATAAACACAGGCGTGAAGACTCAACAGCTGCCCACAGCAGAAAAAGAGAGGCAACCAGATATCACGAGCCTTTATCTTGGACTAAACTCCCCTCAGCTGAGCCGGGTCCACTTCTGTATAAACTGCAGACAGGGGCGCTGGAGGCCCCGTGAGCACGGGAGCCACTGCTCAGACCACGGGGTCAAATGGCCCGGCTGCTCCACACATAAAGGGAAAGGAAGAGAAAGGACAAGTGGGCAACAGCGTCTAGGGACACCTGTATGGCTGGTGAAACCATTTAGAAAACAGAAGCCGGGTGGTAGCTATTTGTGGACAATCCCATTTCCTGACCCTGGGAAATGGTTACCAGAGGGCCCACCCTAGACAGACTCATTAGGCCGAACATTTGTCTTGTATTGTTTTCTGGATTTATATTTCATTTTACAACAAAAAATTTATATGTAACAGACTGAAAAGAGAAAAGACTGTGAGTTCCTAAGATGAACTTTGGGGATCGGGTGGCAGGGGCACCGGAAGGCGTCAAGGCACCAACTCATTACTCGGAAGAGCTGCAAAAGAGACCACGAAGTCACTAGTTGTGCTGCGAACGCAGGATGAAGCATGTTTCAGGGGCACAAACAGCCCCAGAAGGTGAGGAAGTTCTGTTCCAGAGACACCGGAGAGTCACTGCAGGAGGAACAAGAGAACTGTGGAGCCGCCACTCCGCAACCTCTCACCGGACGATGGACCGAGGGCAGGAACTCGACCTCACAGTGCCCCTGCCAAGGCCGGCCGGAATGCAGTGACAATCTCAGCACCTGGACGAGCTCCGACCTCCAGTCCTAAGATTCGGGAACTAAAGGGAATGACCAGCCCCGGGCCAGTGGCGGGGCCGCAGGAGGGTGGGCGGAACCCACCCGGATTCAGCCAGAGCGGAGAACACAGACGTCTGACCACCAGCTAGGCGTCACATGATAATGGGAATTACTGTTACTTCTGTTACAGGAGACAAGTGCTAAACGCTGGCTCAAAGCCAAGCGAGCAGAGCGGGACAGACCCAAGTGCTGGCGGCTCGGACGCCGAGCAGCAGGTTCAGAAGGTCAACTGTAACGCTTTCATCACAGACAGTCCTTCTAAAGAAAGTGACGGGGCCTGTGGAGAGGCTGCGAGCAACCTCAGGTGCAGCTCTGCCTCTCACCCATCCATGTCCGAGTTCACAGCAAAGTAGAAAAGCCTTTGGGAAAGCGTGACCTCAGCGGAGCAGCGCCCGCAGCCGTGTTGGCTCCCAGCCACCGCGCCTGCCCGGCCACGCACACAGCACCATCCTCCTGAGCAGAGCCGGTGCTGCCGGGCGGGGGCCCCCCTCGCACAGGAACGCAAACCTGCTCACCTGATGGTCCACGCTCTCCGTGGCCATGCACTGGTTGTTTGCCAGGGTGGTGATCTCTCGGCTTTTCGGGGTCTCCATCCGGCAGCTGCAGAGGGGCACCTCCTGAAGGCCGTCCGTCTCGCCTACGTCGGGACCGTTGGCCAGCCCTGCGGTCACACACAATGCGTGTCAACACCACGGCCCAGAGAGCTTTGCTACACTCGGCCCCGCCCACCCCACCTCCGCAGGGCAAGAAAGTGGGGACACAGTCCCTGCAGACACGCCCGCGGGCAGCCGCCCAGGAGCCGAGGTCCAGGAGCCAGACCGCCTGGGACTTCGCTTCCCACATGCTTCCCAGCCAGGAAGCACTTGTCTTCGTCACTTGATTTTAGAATTGCAGCCACGAAGTGAACGTTCGGTTCAACCTGAAAGGGTTTGGAGGCAGCTTGTCTCCTGATCATCTAGAGCGCTCCTCACCCACTACAAGAGCACAAAGCGCCTGCTTATTAGGCGGAAGGAGGAAAGAATTGGGGAACACAAAGAAGAAAACTAGGATCACGAAGAAAGTGTCCGGCGCAGCACATCACCGCCTGACCCAACTTACGGGCAGGGCAAGGCGGGCAGCACCGGGAGGAAGGCCGCCCGCGGCTAGGCCGGCTTGCAGTGGGGACAGAGGCCGGTGGCCAGAAAGACCCCTCGACCCAGCCACGGCTTCCAAAGGAAGGCGCGTTTCATGTTCCGAAGTAGAGGTGTAGGGTAAGCGGGAGTCCCCACAGGCATGGCAGGCCGGCTCGCCTTGACTCCCACAAACCAGGACCCGTCCCCACCCTCCGCACCCAGCCAGGTCACATGGCCCTTCTCCAAGGAGCCCCAGGCCCCCTGCCCTCCTGTCCAGCCTCAGGCCCCACAGCTGCCCCCCTAGAGGGTCTGGAACCCTAGCACTAAATGCACACAAAACTGGGGGACCTGACTCGTCCTTCCAAAGTGCTGACACCCCAGGCCCTGCATGACTGGACACATCCACGGGTCCCTCCAACGGTGGCTGTCAATCCAGGGAACACCCTCAGGGAAGCACCTTACATGGCACCCCGCAGCCTCTCCTCCTCCTCCAAGGGGCTCCCGCCAGCGTGGCCCTTACTTTTACCAGAAGCTGCACATACACATTAAAGGCAGAGGCCACCTCCCTCACCCTCCGGGGCTCAGCTCATATAGGGGCAGCAGACGCCCCTGCTGTGCTGCCCTCTCACCCCTGACCCCAGGCAATGTGGTAAAACGAGCACTACTTCCTGCTGGCGTCCAAGTCAGCACCTTACTGAGACAAAGCTAAGAGCAGGTTTAGAAACAGTAAACACAGACGTCACTTCATCGGGAAGGAAGGCATGAGGTGATGACCGGAGAGGGGTTTCTGCTCTGGGTGCAGCAAGAAGAGCGGCTAACTTCTCTGACAGACAAGCCTACAATTTTCTTCTTAAGCTAAAGATGTGATTTCCTAAACTAAACAAGTAAACCCAAAGTCCTCTAGTGTTCAAAACGCTAAAAGCTGGTTATTTGTCCTTTAAAGAATGATTGGTTATACCCCGACAGCAGCAAAATCCATGGGGTGTAAGTAACAGGAATTTTACATTTTCCCCACGTTTCATTTCAAAGAAATTTTTCAAAAGAGCCAAACAGCTATTAACTAATTTCCACCGGTAAAGACTTTCAGACAGGGAGAAGTGTGTGGCCCCAGCCCCAGAGCCAAGGACCCCCCGAGGTGCAGTGCCAGGGACTTCAAGGCCAGGCTCCAGGTATGCCACCATGGGGCACCACCAGCTCAACACCGACGAGAAGACACATTTCCACCAACATTGCTGGAATCAGGGATCATAAAAAGGCCACGCTGTGCAGAACGACGCCACCTGCATGCAGCCAGGGCACAGGGTCACCTCCCACTGGGAGCCCCATATAAACACGCATGGCTCGCAGGACTCCTGACCTTGGTGGGCAACTGCACCCGACCCCTGGGGCCGCCTCACTAGAGCGCCACAGGGACACAGCACACTGGCCCCGCGTCCTGCCCACTCGGCACCAAACGCACCCTCCCCCACCCCCGCCAGCTGGCCCTGGCCACGCACACGCTCACCTTCTGCGTCAGAGGCCAGCGTGCCCTTGACTCGGAGATCCAGGGAGTCCAGCGAAACCTCCATGTACCCCGTGCCGTCGCTGGGTGCCATCTGCTCTGCGCTTCCCGAAGACGATGCATACGCTTCGGAACCTGCGTTCAAAGGCACACACGTCAAACACGGTGCGCCGGGGCCTCGCGACCCACGGGAGGCGCCATGGGATGCTCGCGAGCCACTCAGACAACAAACACACATAGCATCCGGGCCCCCATCCCGCACTTCTGCTGGTTCCCATTTCCGCACGACCTCCCTGGGGAGAGGGCAGCCGTGTCGAGGAAAGCAAAGGTGTGGGCATGTGGAAACACCTTTCTCTACAAACACACCAGCTAGATAAAAGCTGATCAAATAATCAAGGACACATAAAAACGTCGTGCACATACGTTCTGTGAATATTACTTTAAAAATATAAGAGTAAAATCTGAATGGCAGCTTTGAAAGACCAGCTGCTGTACAGCAGCTAAAGAAGCCCCAGACGTGCAGCGTTGCTGTGGAACCAGCCCAGCCTCAGACACCTGGGCTGCAGGATCCACAAGGAAAGGCTGCAGGGCCGCAGGGAGCGTCCTCCTGCGAGAAGGGGTTTACGAAGCACATCACCCACCGAAGGGCAACACAATCTGAACACGCCAAGGAGAGGAATGTGTGTAAGTGAGGAGCCCGTCAAGGGAGGGGGCGCCTGTCCACAAGTCCCAGGAGGCCCACCCAGGTAGCTGCCATTCTAAGGGCATTTCAATGAGGAAGCCTGTGAAAACATGCATTTACACAGGATAATACCACCACCAGCAAAGGGCAAACACCCATAGTTCAGAGCCAAGTTTTAAATACTTGTCATCGACATTTCTTCAACGATGGGAAATGAACGAGCCATAACACAGAGAGGTTTGGTGCCCAAAGACTCTGAATTCAGGCCACAGTCTGAACCTAGATCTGACAGGAAGGAGCCAACCACCAGCGAGAAATCATCAGCAATCTGAGGAACTGAGCAGCCTTTGTGCGATTTTAAACGCTTTACAGGAGGAAATAAAATTCAAACTCCCGTTTAAATAACTATTTAGCCAGGCATTCTACACATTACACACATGATGGTGAAGATGAAGCCTCTGCCCGAAACAACTTCTAGTCTTGGATCTACAACGGCTTTTGTCAGCCGACAGCAAAAACCACCCGGGGTATTCTGATCCTGGCTGATGATTCCTGGTTGAGAGACAAGGAAACGTGAGTGAAGGAGAGGAGGTTCACGGGACACGCCCATGTGCCTGGTGGGTCAACAAACCCCACCAGCCACCTGACTCCAGTCTGAAACTGACCGCCACACACGGGCCTCCAGCAGCCCTCTGCATTTCAGGGGCAGCTCTGTAAACCTGCTTCTCTCTCAGGGGAATCTAGAAGAACGCTAAAATAACTGTGCAAGACAGAAAGAAGTCCTGCAGCTTTGCGGTGCTGGTATAGAGAAAAATCAATCAATAAAACAGACTAGAAAGTCTAGAAACAGCCACACGGTGACTGTCAACAAAGTTTCAAAAGGTTAAGTGAAGAAAGAAAAGTCAATGCAACCAATGGTGCTGGAACAGCTGGAAATGCACAGGCAAAAAAAGTGAGCTGCCCGACAACACACACACACACACATTCACACACACAAAGTGGATCAGAGACCCACATGTACGGGCTAACTATAAAACTTCAAGAAGAAAACATGGGACAAAATCTTTGCATCGTGGGTTGGTTAAGTCGAAGATTTCTGAGATCATGAAAAGCATGAATTTTAAAAGAAAACAATCCATAAATTAGACGTCAACAAACATTTTTTAAAACTTTTAGTAGGTGCACATACTTGCAAAACATCTATCTCGCAAAAGACTTGTATCCAGAACACTGAAAGAAGTCACGACTCAGTGAGAAGATATACGCTCGGATTTCAAAGTAAGCAAAAGGTATAAACGCATTACGAGAAGATAAACCCGAAGATGTGCAACCTCGTTCTTTGGTAGGTAACCGCAATGCGACAGCACCACACACCAACCAGCAGCGCTGGAATCAGAGACTGACCGCGCAAGCGCTGCGGGGGCCCATGCGGGGCTGGACCGCTCCCGTGCTGCTGACGGAACGCAGAGCAGGACGAGCGCTTCGGGAAACAGCTGGCAGCACTAAGAACTGAGACACACAGCATGACCCAGCCACTCTCCACTCCTAGACGTTTACCCCAGATAAACGGAGCATTTCCTCTAGAAACACGTGTACACAAACTCCGCAGCAGTTTATCTGTAAGGGCCAAAAACTGGAAAGAGACCAAATGTCCAAAAGGTGAGGGATAAACAAACCACAGACAGCTGCGCGTGGAACACCTCCCGCCAACACCACCACGGACGACCCTCAGTTACTCTCTCGGAGAAGCCATAGAGAAGGATCCACCCGTAAACGTTCTCCTCAGCGCTAACCCATCTGCGGAGACGACGTGGAGCAGAGGTGCCCGGGCCGGGGGAGGGCTGGCTGCGGAGGGAAGGTCTCTGTCGCGCAGCGAGGGTGGCAGGGGTCTCCTGTCACATGCACGTGGTGAGGCCCACCAACCGAACACCTCAGCAACACACACTTCAGGCTACGCCAAGTCCTCCACGGCAAAGCTGCAAAGACGGGGCCCCTGGGCCACTAACTTTGACATCATGCCCTTCCCAGCTGTCCCTTTAACAAGGCTACCTCCAGATCAAGGGAATCTGAGCAAAGGGCTGAGAGCCACTGTGTGGACCAGGACCCGGCCCGCACAGGACACTGAGGGCGGGACACAGGGAAGGTGGGGGCGGTCAGCGTACAGCCATACCACGGGGGCCTGCTGGAAGGAGACCCCCTGGCATCACCTGAGGGTCTCCAATAAAGCTGTTTCTGATGCTTTTAGTTTTTTAAACAGTGGAGTCTTCTGTTCAAATGAAGTCCTACACAGAACCCCAGCCCCAAGCCCCCCACGGCCTGCTTCCGCCCGGGGTCCTGTGTGTGGCTCTGTGTTTACCTAGCACGGAGCAGGGCTTCTTTTTACTTCTCCGCCTCCTCTTCCTCGCTGGCTTGATCCAGGGGCTGTCAGGCTTCCCTTTCCTCTTGAGAAACTTCTTCTTGATGCTGGATTCAGAACTCTGAGAACCAAGGGAAAGGAACAGAAAGAGCAAAGCATGGGCGCTCTGAAAGCAAAAGTTCTGTTTTCTTGCCATATCGTGATAATGCAACTAGAAAATTAATTTCACTTTTAGACATTTTTCTAGGTCACATTCTCAAAGACACTCATGCTTTTCCCTAAATATCACTGTAAGCTCAGTTACTTGAGTTTGGCACAAAAAAGAATAAGTGAAAAAGTTCTACCAGTAACTAAATAAGTAAGTTCAGTAAGAGAATCCCCTTTTAATTACATGCACCCATTCATCTCGCTCATGAGAAAAGGAACAAACAAAGCCTCAACGTGCATCAAATCTATGTCCAAATTAGCCATTACATGGAGAACAAGGAAAGAAATGATCATTAATTTACAACATTTCGAGATTCCTGTGAGTACATGTGTCTCAAATCTAGACGCAGAAAGGGCATCTAACTGCCACGAGTTACAGCAGATGCAGAGCATGAACCACTAGCCTTTCTAACGACTCCACCACCAGGATCTCACAACCCCTGTTAACTATGGATAGAAAGAGAAATTTTAAAATGTGTGTTCATGAAATAAAAGGATACACTAAGGGTGGCTCACTGGCCTTTCCAACAGTTGCCCTGGAGCCCGAGCCCTCGTGCTGGGCCCCCTGAGATGCCCAGGTGCCCTGTGCTCCCTCCAGCACCTTGTTCCTGCGCCCCCTTCACAGCAAAGCTCCGGGAAGAAAGTCTGCCAAGAGCAGCACCACAGCTCCCTGCGCTTCAGTCTACGACCCCAAAGGAACACGTTTATCGCCAGACACAACAGCCCTCCCAGTGCTCGTCTCCGCCACCCACGTGGCCACTTTCTCCTTCTCGAGGCACAGACTCCCTTCCCAGCCCTGCCCGATGGCCTGGGCGGCCCGCAGGCTCCCCAGGCTCCGCCCTCCCACCACAGCCCCGCCCTCTGACCCTGTCCCCGTGAGGTCGCATCGCTCGCAGCCCTCAGCTCTGAGCCACATCCAGCCCGCAGAGGGCCTGAGGTTCCACCTCGGAAGCCTCGATCTTCCCTCGCCCGGTCCACCCGGCGGCCCCTCCCTGGCTCTCTGCTCAGCCGCTTTCTCTGCGGCTCCCACATGGCTCCTCTGCCAGGAGCCCCGCGTCACCCGCGCACAGGTTACCAGATCAGACTCGTCTCCGTCCTCCTCCTCCTCCCCGGTGCCGGCCGACTCCTGCTCCTCTTCAGATTCGCCCTCCATCTGAGCAGCCCCGCCAGGAGCCAAAAAGAAAACAAACCAATGAGAGCCGCTGGTGGCAGGCGATCTGACCCGACACACCTTGGAGGTGCCCCCGCTCCCCAAGAGCCCGGCCCGGAAGGGCTGCCCCCATGCCAGGCTCCAGGCTGACCTGGACCACCGATCCGACGTGACTCGAACGTATGCAGATCAGTGCGCATGAGAGACTGCACTCACCGCAAAAAGGTTTTCAGAGGCCACAGACTAATATAAAACGCAAAACCTACCCCCCCCCCCCGACCCACGAGCCCGCCCAGCCCCAGGGCCTCGACCTGCTGCCAGTGCTGGGCACCTGCAGGCGAGCACGGGAGTGTCTGCCTGCAGGGGCAGAGCACCCAGCACGCTTCTGCGTCTTACTCTCTTCTAATGAAAAGTACGCTGTGGGATCTTTCCGTAACAGAACAGCAGAAGCACCTGGGTTCACCTTCTCTACCTACACAGGAGCCGCGCGCCCCCTCCACCCCTCCCCGCGCACCCGGCTGTGGCTCCTCGAGGGGCCACGCAGTGACCGCACCCTCACAATCTCACAGGAAGGGTAAGACCCTCCGGACAAAGAGCAGACACGTGCTCCCACCCGTGCAGGACGCTCCGGGTGTGGGGCGCCCCCAGGGCACCCCCAGGCCCTCTGAGGGGCCGCACCACCCCCCGAGTGTCTCCCACGCGTGCTCCTCCATTTCTCCCATGCGTATTGTGTGACCACAGCCCCAGCCTGTACTTCCACTGGGTCCTTGCTTTCTTAGTAACTGCGGAAGCTACACACACACACCGTCTGTTAAATATGTTATAAACATTCTCCTATCAAGCTCTATAGGCTCTGCTTCTGCTATTTCTTTTTAAAGTAAAACTTCTGGGCTTCCCTGGTGGCGCAGCGGTTGAGAGTCCGCCTGCCGATGCAGGGGACACGGGTTCGTGCCCCGGTCCGGGAAGATCCTACATGCCGCGGGGCGGCTGGGCCCGTGAGCCATGGCCGCTGAGCCTGCGCGTCCAGAGCCTGTGCTCCGCAACGGGAGAGGCCACAACAGTGAGAGGCCCGCGTACCGCAAAAAAAAAAAAAAAAAAAAAAAAAAACTTCTGGGGTTTTAATCTGGACAAGTTGAACCTCTCAGTCTCTCCCTTCATGGCTTCTAGGTTTGTGTCTTAAAACAGAAGGCCTTCATTTGAGATTAGAAAAACGGTTTCCAACCTTTTTCCCACACTTAAATATTTTGTGTTGACACTTTAAATCTTCTGGAATTTGCTTTTTTAAATAACAGCTTTACTGATTTATAATTCACCTACCCTTAAATTCACCCTTTTAAAGTACACAATTCGTGGTCTCGAGTGGACTCAGAGTTGTGCAGCCATCACCCCCACCTATGCCAGAATGGAGCGTGCATTTGTTGTGCACCTTGATCTAAGGGTCGGCCTTCACTTGGCCCCCAATTTTCCCAACAACATTTATTGAAAAGTTCATGATCCCTTGCGAACAAACTGAAAACCCAACCCTTACAACAAACTGTATCTCTGCAGACAGACAGGTGCACCGTGGCCACCCTGCTCCGCGCTCTCATGGCTCTGCCGTGCCTGCACGAATCCCCGCTTGAACCCCCTCCGTATCTGTTCTGCTAACCTCTCCCCCACCCCCCAAGCCGTTCTCACTGTGAACGACTCCCATGTCAGCTGGTCCCACAGAAAATCCTGTGGGAATTTTGATGAGAACAGTTCTGAATTCATGGATAACATGGGGAAAGGGAGATGAAAGAATGGATCTTCTCATTCAGACAAATAATGGGTCATTCCATGAACTTATTCTTTTTTTTAACCTCTTTCAGTAAAGTTTTACTATTTTCTCCTTATAGATAACACACATTTCTTGTTAAATGTATTGCTAAGCACTGTGGTGATATTAAAGACTTACAGCTAATTTTTAGGTGTGATATTGTGGTTTTGTTGTTCAAAGAATCCTTACCTTCTAAGGACCCACACTGATATACCGGCCTCAAGACCGTCCAGGTGGAGCAGGGACTCTGGCAAGCACCAGTGGCTGTACATATGCACAGCCTGACGTGTTCCGTTCAGGAGGTTAACAAGTATTGTCGGGTGTTTACTGATATTATTGACAAGCTGTCCTTATATTTTCCGACTGGCAGGACCACACAAGCTCAGCTCACTGGCTACAGCAGCCGCTCAACTGGTTTCCTTGGATTTCCTTAGATGGGTGATTATATTCCCAGCAAACTCCCTGTCCTTTAAAAGATTAATGTTTCCTTCCGGTTTTCACCTTACAGCATCACAGCAAGAATGACCAATGTGGCGTGCTCGTGTGAGGGGAGGAAGTGGCAACCCGCACTTTTCTTCTCTTTCTTTTTTTTTTTTTGGCTGCATCGGGTCTTACTTGCAGCACGTGGGACCCTTCGATGTGGCATGCGAGCTTCTCTCTCGTTGTGGCATGTGGGTTTTCGCTCTCTAGTTGTGGTACGTGGGCTCTGTAGTTGTGGCATGTGGGCGCTCTCGTCGAGTCGTGTGGGCTCAGTAGTTCTGGTGCACGGGCTTAGTTGCCCCGTGGTATGTGGGATCTTAGTTCCCTGACCAGGGATCGAACCCGCATCCCGTGCATTAGAAGGTAGATTCTTTACCACTGGACCACCAGGGAAGTCCCAACCTACACTCTTTTTATCACTGGTATTAGCAATGGTTTAAAACTTTCGCCATTAAATATAACCTTTTTTGTAGGATTCTGATATCTTTATAATAAGCTTTATTTAAATGTTATCTTTAAATTTCATTGGGTAGTTTCTTATTTTAAAAATACTGAGCAGTGAAACTACCCATCAAAGTGGGCAGATTAACAACTTCCAAAACTCCTGTGACTGTAAAGGGAGGAATAAGGAACAACTCCTTATAAGGAATAAGTACTTGAAAACTGCACACACAGCAGCTACAGAAACAGACGTGAGGCGCTTGGGGTGAGAAGGGAGGGGAACACCACAGCTGGCACCTGACTGGACAGACGGTGTAGGACTAAGCCAGGCAGAGGCCACACAGGGCGGGGGACCCGAGCCAGCAGGCCCCGTGAGCGCCCGAGACAACCCGCACCCACCTGCCCCATCCACACCAGTGCGGAGACAAGGACACCGGTCATCGGTGAGGAGTCAGCCCCCTACATGGAGAAGGAGGCACCGTGCTGGCCACATACACACAGGGCCTCACTTGCTACAAATCGACTTTTTAGAAGGACAAATAACTACACAGATAAACAGCTGGGTCCCAAACAGGCACTACACAAGAGAAGGCATCCAAACAGCAAATAAACATACAACAAAGTACCCAGGGCTTCCCTGGTGGCGCAGTGGCTGAGGGTCCGCCTGCCGATGCAGGGGACACGGGTTCGTGCCCCGGTCTGGGAAGATCCCACATGCCGCGGAGCGGCTGGGCCCGTGAGCCATGGCCGCTGAGCCTGCGCGTCCAGGGCCCGTGCTCTGCAACAGGAGAGGCCACAACAGTGAGAGGCCCGCGTAGCGCAAAAAAAAAAAAAAAAAGTACCCAAGCTTCTCGGAAACCAGGGAAACGCAAATCAGAACTGCAGTGTGAGAGCGCTCAGCCGCGCCAGGAGGGCAGCCCACCAAGTTTACAAGCCCGTGATGCACACACAGGACGTGCAGCTCCCCTCGCGGATGTGCCAGACATGGGCAACAGCCCCGCTGGAGCCCCGCACACACCCGTCCAGAGGGGTGCGGCCCCACTTGGCTCCCAACGCTCTGGCCTCAGAAACTACCGAGAACAGCCAAGGGCTGTGGGGGCCCGTGAGTCCGTGAACACGCGCCGCTGCAGACACTTACACCTGCGGCGTGGCTCCCTCAAAGGAGAGTGAGAAAGGCAGGTAACATCCCAGGACTATTATAACCCTGGAGGGTCTCAGAGACCCTGGGCCACCTTAAAAACCACCATCACACAACAGTGAAAATGAACTAACAGCATAAATAAATCGCACAAACACAACACAGAGTAAAACGAGCCACACTCAGAAAAAGGAGTGCCTCCTGCGTGATTGCACCGAAGCCCAGAACAAGAGCAGAGGCAACCCTGCCACGGGGACCGGAGCGGGGCGCCACCCGCGTGCTCCTGCCCTGGGCACCGCTGACCTGTGCCCCGTCCCCAAGTCCACGCGGCAGGGAGCTGGACCCTGTGACATGCCTTCCAGTCTCTCTCCTTTGCTCCGCTACCTCAGCAGGTCCTGTGAAGAGCTTTCCTGGAGGCCGCAGCCTCCCCTGCCCTTGTCCCCTGATACATGGTTGTGTCTGGCTGACTTTAAGGCAGGTTTAGCCTCAGAACCGGCTGGCATATCTCCCATCTTTCTCGTCTCCGGAACAGGTCACATAACAAATCCATGACTCTCTGTTACTATCACTGATCTGTTTAGATCTGCTCCTGCCATCTTACTTTGTTTTCCACATTTTCTTCTTGATTCTGCTTTTATTTATTTCCTGATTCTTTTGTTAGCTTGATACCCATTTAATTTTCTTCCTTTGTATCAGTATCTAGACTAACTCAGCGTTATTCAGTGTCTAGATTCTTTCCGGAAGATGAGGACCTCCATCAAAATAGAGAATCCAGAGATAGACTCACATTCAAATGCCGCGTGGTATGTGACAGAGGTGGCATTTTAAATCAGCAAGGAAGCAAATGTCAGTCAATAAACAGTGCTGGCACACACGGCTCACCATGTGAGGGAGGCCACACAACCCTGACCTCACGTTTTGTTCAAAAAGCTTTACTGAGGTATAATTTATATACCATAAAATTCACCCACTTTGACTGTCTCTACCTCACATTTCATCAAAAATTCTCTGAATCAAATGTTTATATATAAAGAATGAAGCCCATGAAGAGTTAGAAGATAGCTTACATCAATATATTCTACATCGCCACAGGGAAACGTCTGTGTATTGTAATTAGAACCCCGAACCCAGAAATCATACAGAAACAGACTAGTATCCGTGAGCTCTGACATCGCAGCCAAGGCTGGACAGCACACACCTTCGAGCAACAGGTCAGCTCTGCGCTCACATAAGGCTGCCAGACCACATGACCCAGCGGAAACGGAGTCGCTAGACAACAAATCCTGACAGCCAGTTGTGTGCGAAGCTGCTCGGCACATTCAGACCTGCAGCAAAACACTGAGATACAGGGACACGCAGATGAAAACCTGTCCCTCCCAACTCACTGCGGCAGAGACCTGGAGATGCCCACATTCTACCTCTCAACAAAGTGCATACTACGAGCCCCGAGTGTCGCCTCTAACAACAGGAAATGGCTTTGCGGGGGGGGGCGCACACCCACTGAGGGGCCCGGCCAAGAGCAGCTCGTGGAGCCACAGGCAAAGCTCCTTAAGGAGACTGGACGTCCAGAGTCAAGTCCCCACTGCAGGCGGCAGGGAGTACAGGTCTGTAAAAATCACCGTTGAAAATACCACCACAAGAATTAGGAGACTGCTTCCTTCCTACACGAAAGGGAAAAAATAATAGAAGATGGAAGAGAAAAAAAAAATAAATGATATCTTAAATCATTTTAAAATTTCCTTTAAATCTCTAATGTCAGCATTTTCTACCAATTTATTTTTGAAAAATTATACCTTAATAGCTGGGCCAACATTTAAAATTTTGCCCCAAAACCTGCTAAAAAATAGAACTGGCATAAATGGCTAATGTGAATCTGAAATTTAAGCAACACTAAGAAAAAACATGGCCAAACTCCAGAAGCTGAAAGAAAATGCTTTACACACGTCAAAGGCTGTACCCACAGGGCTGATGCAAAGTGCAAAAAGCTAACCAACAAAATCATACACTTCAAACAAGCCACTGTTGCAACAAACTCACTGGAACGTCTCTGCCCATCCTTAGTTTCAGAATTACTCGTCAGGTGTAATGGTCCATCTTAAAGATGCTCCAAAGTTTTCTCAGACAAGTCTGAGGCATGGACAGTAAATCCACGGCTCCACACGTCTGCCTGGCTCTCAGCCACAGTTTCGCCTTCGTGTCTAACTCACCCCTCCCCCAATCAGAAGGGCCCCAACAGCAACAGCCACTCTGCTCAAGTCTGCGCCCGGCACCCCTGGGCCCCCTGAATCACTGAAACCGTACAAGCCCCGTGGTCCCTGTCATGTTGCGGCAAAGACAGAAATGAGGGTCTTTTCTTTTCTGACAAACAAGGAAAATAAAGGAGCCATGGGCAGGCTATGGAAACAACATAAACTGGCCTGAAAGAGTTAATCAATCCTAGCTTTTCTTTTTTTTTTTTTTTTTCCCTTGGCTGCACTGGGTCTATCGTTGCTGCAGGCGGGCTTTCTCTAGATGTGGCGAGCGGGGGCTACTCTTTGTTGCAGTGCACGGGCTTCTCACTGCAGTGGCTCCTCTTGTGGAGCACGGGCTCTAGGGCATGCGGGCTTCAGTAGCTGTGGTTCGTGGGCTTCAGTAGTTGTGGCTCGCGGGCTCTAGAGCGCAGGCTCAGTAGTTGTGGCGCACGGGCTTAGTTGCTCCGCAGCACATGGGATCTTCCCGGACCAGGGCTCGAACCCATGTCCCCTACACTGGCAGGCGGATTCTTAAGCACTGCGCCACCAGGGAAATCCCAACCCTAGTTTTATTTTAACTGTTACTAATCTGTAGTGTCTGTAACTAGACTTATCCTTCACAAAGCTAACCTCTAACACTCTCTGACATTATGTGAATTACATCCTGCACTCCCCTGTAGGAAATCACCCCTTGTAGCGTTCTGCATTTTAGAAATGCAGCCGATAACCCAGCCGATAACAAACGGACCCAATTACCAGGCTGCCTGTCACCCGTTTTGAAATAATGCAAGAAGAAGAAAAATTCAAGACCTTCATTACTTTGATCCTTATCACCTATCCGCAGACTGCAAGCTCCACCTCTAAGACCTCTCCTGATTCCCCGGGGAGGGGGGGGCACAGTTCTTGAGGCACTAGCCTGCTGTGTTCCCTTTTTGCCTGGCAAAGAATAAAGCTATTATTTCGTTTCCTCCAAAACTCTGTCTCCACATTTCTGTTCGGCACCGGTGCACAGAGAGCCAAGACAAGGCATCACCACCCCCAGCCGGTGCCACGCCTTCAGGGCCACCAAACCGCCAACTCCGAGCTCGTCCTGGGTGGACACGGATGAAGCGTCCATAACAAGGACACGCCAGCACACGTACCACCCCACAGGCCTGTCAGCAGCCCTGGGCACTCACTCCACTGGGAGGACAGAGGCCTCACCTGCGGAAGGACCACACCTGTGCCGGGTGCCTGGGACACCGTGCCAAGGCCAAGGGCAAGCCGTACTGGCACTCGGTCAGCCACGGTTAGCAGTTTGGGTTATTAATGGTATTATTCCTGTCACTCCCAAGCCTAAAAATGCTCAGGCCGTTTACTTCCATGAACGCTGCACGGGAAGACAAACACTTCTCTGATGAAAATAAACTACCTAAAAATTCAAGAGAAATAAAATACAAGAATCCCAGCCAGAAGTAAACAGGGGGCTTTATTAAGGCCCAGAAGCGCCCAGCCGCCACCCCTACCCCCGCCAGGACCGAGGTCTGCGGCGTGCGTCCCGCCCACCTTCTGGCTGCGGTCAGGCTCCAGCGCACTGTCCTTGGAGGCCCTGCTGCCCTCGGCAGGGAACGCGGTGGCCGGCTGGGCCCCCTGGTCCTCATCCTCCTCCAGCTCCTCCGAGTCGTCCTCCTCAGAGTCCATGTCTAGGCTCTCCCCGTTCACGTGGAGGGAGCCGTCACCCAGGTCCTTCTCGCCCTGGAACACGCCAGAAGCCCACGTCAGGACCCCACCAACTCCTCGGGGCAAGGCCCACGGGGCGGGGCAGGGGAGGGGGTGGCGACTGTGCCGGAAGACGAGAGCTTGGGGCGGGCGGGGGCCACCCTGGAGCAGAGATGGAGGGCAGCCCCCGCAGCCTGGCCCGCACCCTTACCTTGGAGCCCACCGTGGAATGAGTTATGCTCTTAAACATCTCAATCACCGTCCTCTGTTTTAACACTTTGGTCTTTTTCTTAGGAACCAGGCTATAGGTTCCCATTCTTCGTTTTTTCTTCCGAGATACTGCAGCTGCTAAAACAAAAGGCAAGCAAGCTAAAAAAAAAAAAAAAGTCAAAAGGGGACGAGAGAAGAAAAGAAATGCCATTCAAATGTTTTTAGAGGTAGGTGACAGTTCACAAACTCTCATCACCAAAATCATCAGCACTCAACAGTGTCTTAAGTTGCACAGAGAAAGCTGAAAACCCGTCACAGACACAGGATTTGTCCACAAGGAGACACCGAGCTGTACGGAGGGCAAACGTGAGCACCCCCTCCCGAGCAGGCAGCACAACACCAGGAGACCCTCAAGCTGGCAGGAACGGGCCCGGGTGCACCTGGGACAGCCTCTGAGCAGGGCTCTCCGAGGGGCTGAGAAGGAAGGGCCTCCTCCAGACGCCCTCCTGCTCGTGTGTCCAGAGGGTCCACCGCTGACGTGCAGCCACTGAAGAGTGGACTTACACCACTGTCACCTGGACCCTCCATCCTCGCTCAGCACTTCACGGACCACGGGGAAGGATACTGGAAACAAGGGCCCAGCGAGCTATCCCTGCACACAAGGGCCAGGGAGGGAGAGGCCTGGGAGCAAGGTCTCCTGACAAGCGCAGCAGTGGAGGGGGTACCGAGCAGGGGCTTGGGGACTCGTGGCCCCTGACGCCATTCTGGGCAAAGCAGCCCCAGGTTTACTGCTTTGACAGAATGAGGGTCTCTGTGATGTTTTATTTTTGTAAAAAGTTCCAGGGTATTAAAAAAAAATCTGAAAACCACTGCTTTAAACACGGAGGAACTCCACGAAAGGGCTGAAAGAAATACCTTACGTTTTATTTCTACGAAATGCAGAGAAGGGATACGGGGAGAAAGGATGCACGTCGGCCATGGGCGCCAGGGGTCAGAATGACAGCCCCTCGCAGGTGCGTGGCGAAGCCAGGACACTGAGGACAATCGCCACGTGGGCCACACGTGTTTACGTGGAAACGCCGACCGTCCACGCGCTGAACGGAGCACAGGTGAGCTGGCGGAGGTGCCCCCCCCAGGAGGAGGCGGGTGGGTTGTGAGCTCCGTGCAAACTTGCCATCTCGTCTCCGCTCGCGCCGCAGCACGACGGCAAGAGCAGGCCCTCCGGGGCGGGGCTGTCACCACAGTGACAAGAAGAGATGGCCCGAAAGCGTGCACTTCCTGTGACAGCGGAATGCACCGGCCAGGGGAAGTGGGGAGGAGGAAGGTTTGAAGAACGAGGCAGGCAGTTCCAGGTCTGCAGCGACGCCGTCACACAGGGCCACGTCCCCACGGGCCCCTGCTCCCCACCCCCCACCCCGGGGTGAGGACGCTGCAGGCACAGCAAGAGGGGCCTGCCACCTCCCTGGGGAGGGAGCCGGGCAGCTGCTGCAGGAGCGCCAGGCACCAGGCTGTTCACACTGTCCTGAGCCCGCAGGCCCCGTCTCCGCCTCCGGCCCTCAGGTAAGGAAACAGAGGCAGAGAAGGACCCATGTGGGAAACTGCTAAACACACTCAGCATTTCTGTTTAGAAAACTTGGATTGAACAGATAAGGAAATAATAAAGCTAAAATAGGAACAATCTTAATTTTTATTAAGATAAAAGATCCTTGTGGCTTGCAGGATCTTAGTTCCCTGACAAGGGACTGAACCCACACCCATGGAGTCCTAACCACTGGACTGCGAGGGAATTCCCCAATCTTAACTTTTTAACAGAAGTACCGACTCCTGACATTCCTCGCCAAGCCCTACACACATGGGTTTAATTCCACAGAGACATGCAACTCTGTCCAGCTTTAACTCTTTGAAACAAATAATACTGAGTTGAAATAGACCAAAAGTTGGAGGTGGTGGGGAGACAGACTGACCCTGTTTTCTAACCAACCACAGCGCTCCAACAAACAGAACAAGGACTCCCTGGAGACACAGCTAGTCCCAGGACTGGGGAAGGACAAGACGGGCTGGGTCCACCTGGTGTAGCCAGGAAGTCCTCACAAAGTGATGGGGTCACATCGGAGGACTCAGGAGCCAGCCTGAAGGGCAAACCTGGGGCAATTTGAACATGACGGTGACGGACTGGAGCCCAGAGACTCACAAAAGGATCCGTGAGTTGAGACAGAGGCAAGGCTGGAAAGGGGAGGCCCTTCATTCCAGCAGAAGCTCCACTAGGAAGTAAGGACAGGGCAATGGAATTGGAAGCCATCCTGGGACGATCAGTCTGGGAGTGGGTCCCTAGATGCTCAAGCTGCCAGGTGGGACCATGCAACCCTCTAAGTCCCGTCTCCAAAGACACAAAGGACAACAACCCAAGGGCCTATAGACCCAGCCCTGCCGCAGCAGGACCAACACCCACACCCCACTCCCAGGGGACGCAGCAAGGACACACGCCCCTCGGGGACGGCAGTGACCCGAGCCTGACCCGGGAAGACAGCAGCGACCCCAGGGGGACGCTCCAGATGTCCAGACGCACACTAAGGGACTGCAGGAAGCCGGCCAGAAATGCCTCCTGGGACAACTGACTGGCAAAGGCGAGCGGGGCCTGAGGCCTGGACGACGTGTCACACGGGGGGCCCTTTCAGGCTCTGACACTACAGCGACTGCCCGAGAGGGCGCCACGCACAACAGGGACGCGCCCAGGGCCCCATGTCTGCAACTTCCACGCACGTTCAGAAGTAAACGTTACACGCTGGGCGGGAGAAGGATGCGCAACTGCGCACGGGGTGGAATGGAGGGAGGGGGACGGGGGAGGCCACAGGCATCCTCTGCAGAACCTCTGGTCTGAAATTACTGATAAGCAACAAGTGTCCTGAAAGTCCTAAGGAAGACAGGCCCCAACCAGCACGTGACCACCCCAGGGCAGCCCCTCGGGGGGCCGCCTCCCCCTCGTCTGTGAGTCCTCAGCGATGTGAGCCGGGCCTGGCAGAGAGGCCTGTCTGCACTGGAGGGGTCTGCAGAGGAAGCAGGCTCTACGGGCACGCCTGCCACAGCAGCCTCCCTGGGGGCCGCTCACCAGCGCCCCCCTCCTGCGAAAGGCCCCACAAGGCACCCGATGCTCCTCCACGCCCCCAGGTGAGCGTGAGGAGAGGTGGCTCGGGGTGGGAGGGGGCCACCCCACGGCCACCCGCACCTGAACCACGGCGCCCCTGCAGTACTGAATCCATGAGCTGGGAGACTCCTCAAATCCAGAGCCCTCCACCCAATCAGACCAAGGCCACAGACTGTCAGAATGAAAACGATCTTCACCTGGAAGCTGAAAACAAGCGGAGGACGCGACACAGCACCGGGTGAGGGTGGAGCGGGGCCCGCGTCCTCTGTGGTGCAGGCTCGGGACACGCCCGAGAGAGAGGCGGCGGCAGGTTCCCTTTACCTGTCTGTGCCTTCGTGGTGGCCACGTAGCACTGGTTTTGAGGTAGCGACTGGTGAAGGGGCGGGAAGGGGGGTAAAAGCTGCTGTCGTCCAAAATCCGAGGCATTTCTGCTCAACTCCTCTTTCGGCTCCTCAGGGTCACGGGCGTCCCGGCCTTCCCTGGGGTCCTTACTGGCCGCGTGCTTCAAAACAAAGACAACGCGACAATGACGCACAGGCAGGCAGCGATGAAACAGCGTGCCTCTCCCACCAAACCACTCCCCCGAGAGATGTGCGCTGAGGAGAGAGGGGAGAGCGCAGAAACCCGCTGCCACCAGAGCGCCTGTGACAGGCGCGGGTCGGCGTCACAGGCCAAGAACAGAGTCTGCGTTTCTGCAGGGAAGTAGCAGCGGCTGTGACACATGCGGCACCCAGAACCGGGACCGTCTCCCACCTGGGCCTTTACAGAAAGCCAGCCAGCCTGTGATTTAGGTAATAAACTATGACTACGTTTGCAAATACCCAGATGGGGCACATTCCAGGTGATCACGGCTACACAGTGCACATCCCCCAAGTGGTTTTCACGCCACGACAGATCATCATGTTACACCTTAAAGACGCTTTTGCTCAGTTTTACCCATTTCCTCAGTGTCTCGGCCTTAGCCTTCTGAGACCACAACAGCCTGTGATGTGGACGTCAACCCCCTGGCACCGACCAACAGCCCTGCCTTTGCTCCGGACACCACTCAGCACCCCACCACCACTTGCTTCCCCAGAGTCACCTACAGCCTTGAGACAGTCTGATCTCAAACCCGATTCCACTGAACCACATTTCGTTGTGCACAAAGCAGGTGTGATCCTTCAATGTATGGGGCAGGGAAACTGGACAGCCACCTGCAAAAGGATGGAGGTGGACCTTCACCTTATACCACTGACAGAGATTAACTCTGAACAGATCAAAGACCTAAAACTGTAAGACTCCTAGAAGAAAACGGGGGAAGCTTCATGACATTGGATTTGGCAATGAATCCTTGGATATTACAACAAAAGCACAGGCAACAAAAGAAAAAAGATAAATTAGACTTTATTAAAATTAAAAATTTCTTATAGGGACTTCCCTGGTGGTGCAGTGGTTAAGAATCCACCTGCCAATGCAGGGGACACAGGTTCAAGCCCTGGTCCGGGAAGATCCCACATGCCGCAGAGCAACTAAGCCCATGCACCACAACTACTGAGCCTGCGTTCCAGAGCCCGCGAGCTACAACTACTGAAGCCCGCGCGCCTAGAGCCTGTGCCCCACAACAAGAGAAGCCACCGCAGTGAGAAGCCCGCGCACAGCAACAAAGAGTAGCCCCAGCTCACTGCAACTAGAGAAAGCCCGTGCGCAACAACGAAGACTCAACGCAGCCAAAAATAAAAAAATAAAATAAAAAATTTCTTATAAATCAAAACCACAATGAGACATCACCTCACGCCTGTAAGAATGGCTATCATCAAAAAGACCACAAATAACAAACGTTGGAGAGGGTGTGGAGAAAAATAGAACCCTAGTGCACTGCTGGTGGGAATGCAAACTAGTGCAGCCACTATGGAGGTTCCTCAAAAAGTTAAAAATAGAACTACTATATGATCCAGCAATTCCACTCCTGGGTATTTATCCAAAGAATACAAAAACAATAGTTCAAAAAGATAAATGCACCCCTGTGTTCACTGTAGCACTATTTATGATAGCCAAGATGTGGAAGCAACCTAAATGCCCGTCAACAGACAAATGGATAAAGAAGATGTGGTGTATTTATACACACACACAATGGAATATTACTCAGCCATAAAAAAGAATGAAACCTTGCTGTTTGTGACAATACGGATGGATCCAGAGGTACTACACTAAATGAAATAAGTCAGAGAAAAAGACGAATACCATGATTTCACTTATATGTGGAATCTAAAAAGCAAAACAAATGAACAAACATAACAAAACAGAAACACTCATAAATACAGAGAATAAATAGCGGGTAGAGAGGTGGGGGAGGACAGACAAAACAGGTGAAGGGGATTAAAAAGTACAAACCAACAGTTATATAATAAGTAAGTCATGGGGATGTAACACACAGCATGGAGAATACAGTCAACAATACTGTAATAACTTTGAATGGTGACAGATGGTTAACTAGACTATTCCTGGTGATTCTTTTGTAATATATAAAGATATTGAATCACTATGCTGTAAACCTGAAACTAATATATTGTAAGTCAATTACACGTCCATTAAAATTTTTTTTAATTTCTATGCATCAAAGGACAAAATCAATAGAAAGAAATGGCAACCTATAGAATGGGAGACAATATTTGCAAATTATATATCCGATAAAGGAATCATGCATAGAATATATAAAGAACTCTACTGCTCAACAACAACAAAAAAACCCAATTTAAAAATGGGTAAAGCATCTGAATAGATATTTCTCCAAAGAAGACATACAAATGGCCAAAAAGCACATGAAAAGATGCTTAATTTAACATCACTGATCATCAGGAAAATGCAACTCAAAACCGCAATGAGACCACCTCACACTCCTGGGATGGCTACTATCAAACAAACAGAAAACAAGTGTTGGTGAAGGTACGGAGACACTGGGGCCTCAGTGCGCTGCTGGGGGGAAGGTAAAATGGCGCAGATGCTGTGGACAACAGCGTGGGGCTTCCTCAAGAAGTAGATGGAATTATCCTATGATCCTGCAATTCCACTTCTGGGTGCACACTCTGAAGAATCAAAAGCAGGGACTCGAAGAGCTCTTTGTACAACTGTGTTCACAGCAGCATCGTTCACGACAGACAAGGGGTGGAGGCAACCCAAGTGCCCACTGATGGATGATGGATAAACTAAATGTACATGTGTGCATACGTACACGCATGCAATGGAATATTATCCGGCCTTAAAAAGGAAGGAAGTTTTGACAGAGGCTACATTGTCTCGAGGACATTGTGCTGAGTGAAACAGGCCAGGCACAAAAGGACAAATCCTCATATGAGGGACCAAGCGTAGTCAATCCGAGACAGAAAGTAGATGTCAGGGCCCAGGGCTGGGGGTGGGGAAGGGGAGTGAGTGTTTAATGGGGACAGAGCGTCAGTCTGTGGAGACGAGGAAGTCCTGGGGAGAATGGTGGCGACGGCCGCACAACAATGTGAATGTGCTTAATGCCCCTGAGCTGGATACTCAAAAATGGTTAGAATGGCAAATTCTATGTTATGCATATTTTAATACAGTGTCCACATCTCTGGGAGTCGACATCGGGGAGATGCCAACAGGCCTGCCAGGGGCGGCCCTGGACTCGACTTCTCCCAGCGGGACCCACGCTCAGCCCTCTGGCTCCTCTGCCAGGCTCCCCGCCTGGGCCCGCACGCAGCTCCTCCTCACACAGCACAGGCCGAGGCCTCCTCCGTGGCCTCCACCGCTAACGTGCCCTGGCACAGACAGCCCTGGTAAAGGTAACCTGTTAGCTGGGTCAATTCTCCAGTCCTTCTCAAATATGTGGGCTTTGTCTCAAGGTCACTGCTTTGACACGATCGCTCCCTCACTCCTCCCACGAACGACCTCAGAGACCACGCAGCTACCACCTCCACCAGTGCTTGCAAGACAGACGGGACACAGGAGCTTAAAGGATAAATGGATGAAGGCAGAAGCTAAATCTGAGAAGGCAACAGCCACGTGAGGCTCGTTCTCACTCGGGCACAAAATCCATTCTTTGATTCAAGGTATTATTTTTGAAAATCTAAAAAACAAAATTAAAAACTGCTGAACTTGAGTGAAGACCCTAAACTCTGTTAGGGCCCCATTATCTGACAAAGCAAACCCACCGAGGCGGAGCGGCTGGCGCCTGACCTCCCGGCGGGGCACCGCAGAGCCCCAGCCAGTCCCCCACGTGGAGAGAGGACCCATGCCAACACCTACCTGCCACGCGCCCGGGTCACAGTGTGTGACCCAGACGCCCGAGGGCAACCGCGCCTGGCCCCCGCTGGCCTCCCCACCTCAGTGCTCACTCTGCTCAGCGGCTCTCCCTTCCTCACCCCAGCCACTGTCGGGCCTGGCCCAACTGGGGCGAGTCCTCACACCCACCTGGTGCCCCCGCTTCCGGGTGCAGCAAACACCCACCTGCACCCCAGCTGCAGGAGGACCCGCCCCACCCGGACCGAGAGTACCCAGCCAGGCCCGCATCTTCTCTCCAGAACCCAGGGACTACTGGGGGGCCGTGTGGAAGGAGCCAGGGAGAGCGCAGGGACACAGCCACCCAAGGAGAAGCCAGAGGTCCCCGTGTGGCACCTCCAGGAATGAGCACAATTCAGTTAGGGAGACGGGTCTACACTGGCGTGCCAATGCGGGATAAAAGGGTCTCCTTCCAGAAGTTCTCACTTCCTTTGCGTGAACGGTGGCTGAGTCTAACCCTGTGTCGGCACCTTCTGATGGCACAGGCATTGGGTCCGAGAGGCAAACTGGCTCTGCCCTGCCTGGGGATGCGAGGCCACCAGGCTGTGAAAACCCCTGCATTTTTAAACTCTTAAAGTACAATGGATTTCTTGCCATAAGCATGTAACACTCTTTCTATCATGGGGATGACTGTTTTCAAAACGCAATTTTCAATAAAACATGCTTTCCTAAGAAAAGCAAACAAGACTAAACTGGGTCTGGGGAGAAGAGAAGCCAGAGGGCAGGCGAGGCCAGGTCTGGACCTGGGCCGGGAGCCAGGAGGGCACCCCATCTCCACGTCTCCAATCCCCTCTTCCGGCAGGGGTCCCAGGAGCAGATGAAGTTTCCAGGGTGTGGAGCGGATGGGCTTGGTCTTCAGGAAATCAGGTTCCAAAGCCTCAAAATCCTTCCCTTTTCTTTCACTACAAGTGACCAGCCCGAGAGTGCTCAGTAATTTCCAACAAAGTATGTGTTGCAATTGACTGCAAGCTGCTACTAATCACAATAACTCCAACCAGAACAAAGCTAACCCTCAGATAAACCTTATGGTCAGAGATATTTCGTGAAATTAAATTTCAGATTGCTTTTTTTTTTAAACCCCTAAAGGGATATAAAAAGATGTTTGAGAATAAAAATACATTAGAATAAAATTCTAAAGTGGGGATGGAATAAGAGTACGATTTCGAGGAGATAAATAAACAATCTTGTCTGACATGCATTTTAAACTCGATAATGCTGGGCCAAAACATGGTAGGTGAATAAATAAATAAACTTCACCCTAAGCCTCAAATCTAATACAAAAATTAATTCACAACAGGCCATATATTTAAAGTTCACATAAAACTAAAAAACTATGAAAATTAGAGAAAATCTTCAGGATCTAGGGCTGGGTGAAGAGTTCTTAGGCATGACAGCAAAAGCACAGCCTTAAAAGAAAAAAACTGTGTAAGCTGGACCACATCAAAATGAAGAACTTCTGCTTTAAGAAAAACCATGGGGTCTTCAGTAGCGAAAGGATGAAGACCAGCTACAGACCAAGTGAAAATATCTGCAAACCAACACTTGGCAATGGTCCATATCCCAAACTCTCAAAGCTCCCAAAATATTTAATTGTAAAGTGGGCAAAAGATATGAAAGACATTTCACCAAAAAGGACATACAGATGGCAAATAAGCACATGAAGAGTTGTTCAACGCCATCAGTCATTAGGGAGGTTCAAACTAAAACCATGACGAGGAATCACAGCTACGACAGAGAAGAGGCAACACCAAACACCCCTCTGGAGGACGCAGGGACATAGAATGTAGTAGCCTGTGCAGTGCAGCGTGGCGGTTACTTATAAAACTAAATACCCAATTACCACATGGCCTTGCAACTGAGCTCCTGGATATTTTACCCAGAGAAGCGAAAACTTTCATCCAAACAAAAATGTGTACGTGAATGTCCAGAGCAGCTTTAATGGAGCACCCCAAGGCTGAGAACCCCCAAATGTCCCTCAATGGGCGAGCGGTTACACACGCAATACTCGTCGACACGCAAAGGAGGGCCCTGCAGACATAGCCCGGGTGGGGGGTCAGGGGTGCGGAGTGAGGGAAGAAAGCCCCCGAACTCTGCCATCCCGCGTTTCAGAACACCTGAAACAACATGCCTCCAGAGATGGGGGACGGGGTCAGGGACGGCCGGGGTGGCCACAGAGGGAGGCTCACAGTGCTGGGTGGGCACGTAAACCCACACTGTGGTGCCCTGGGAGAAAGCGGCTGGAGGGGGCGTGGGCTCTCTGCGCTATCTGTGCAGCCTCCTGTGAACTATTATTAAAAAGTTTAACTTTCGGCGCGTACATAAAAATACTACGAAAGGCAGAAGTCAGGCCAGGGCTGGTCAGGCTGGGGGCGTCAGGGGCCCCACGCTGCGTGGGCAGTGGGCTGTGGCCCAGCTTCCAGCACCCCCCCCGGCTCCACAGTCACAGCAGGCAGGCGACAGCCAGGCAACAGGGAAGCACAGAAACAAAGATGTGCACGCTTCTGGAGGAAAGTCATTTCAGGGGAAAAATCACCCGAACAAGAGGTGCCAAGGCCAGACAGAACCCCCACGTGAGGAGACAGGAGTTGTAACCAAGACCATGCAAGGGTTGTAACTGTCTTTTGAAGGATAAGACAGAGATGTAACTAACAATGCAGGTATTCTTAAAAAACTAATCCAAGACACTGGATATGAAAAATGTAACTGTCAAACTGAAAACATCAACATGTGGAATGACCAGCAAGACCAAAGTGCTGGGTCTTGAGGGACAAATGATGGAGCTGGAGAAGAGGGGAGGTCCAGGGAGGGAAGCCGTGCAGAACCTTCTAGAGCTGGAGAAACACACGGGTCAGGCCGCGGGGCCCCTGGGGAAGGGTCCGACCCGCACCAGCAGCACCAGCACAAGCAATGCCAGGCGTCTGACTGCACACCCGGACTTCGTGCAGGAAGCAGGGAGCAAACCACGCCCTGTGTCTGTAGCGCGTCACTCCCGGGCCCCAGCCGCCCTCCTGCCTACTCACTCCCCAGAGAGACAGGCGGGTGCTGAGTCTCCCAAGCCAGTAACTCCCCAACGCGGACAAGGAGCTCCCGGTGAGCCCAGGCACCTACGAGGAGAAGCCCAGAAAGCAGGCTGACGGGTCACACTCAGGAACCCTACAAGGCCCGCAGGCAACCGTGGCTGACGACCCCACCACTTCCCGGCCTCTCCCCTCCACGCACAGAAGTCCACTTGCCATCCGCACACGAAACAAAAGAGGAGACAGACAGGAGAGCGGCCCCACCCCAACAGGGACGCGTTACCAGGCCCGGGATGGACTTCGGCATGGTCTTCCGAGCCCTGTGGACCTTGACGTCAGCGCCCGGGGCCGGGGCCTTCTTGTCCTCTGTGTCCTTGCTGCCTTCCCCGGGCTTGGCTGGCATGGCGGCCGGCGGCTGGGGAAAAGCGCCAGGAGTCCTCCCTTTGCCAGCCCCGCCAGGGAGGGTCTTCGCGGCGTGACCGGGCAGGGAGGAGGCCAGGGCGCCAGCCACCCGCAGCGGTGGCTCAGACAGGGGGGCCTTGCCGAGGAAGTAGCCGTTGCTCCCGACGACGGGAGTCTGAGTGAAGCCGTCGGCTCGGATGTGGTTCTGCTTCCCCACCTCAGTGTCTCTGTCCAAAATCCCATTTTCTGCTATCCGGGCCACCGGACCGGCTCCTTCCTGCGGGCTGACTCTCGTGCTTTCCTGAGTGTGCTTCACAGCGGCCGGGTGGCCGTTGGCATCGCTCTTGTCGCAGGACCCGTTGGTTTCCCCGTCTGCAGCCACATGGGCCTCCCCTCCCTGCTGCTCTGCCGAGCCTTCATCAGCAGCCATAGGTGACCCTACGGAAGGAGGAGAAGAGTCAGTGGCTGCCCCGCCTGCGACCCCAACACGAGAGCCCCCACTGCCCTGCTTACACAAAACTGTCTGAAGAAAAACCACTTTATTTCATAGACAAACATTTGAGTTCAGACGGATTAAATATAAAGTATGTCACAGACACTGTCTCGACAGTGAGTCAGTTAAGGGGGGAATGACCCCATCCCCAGAAGGGCGGTCTGCGCCCCGCCCCTAGTGAGGTGTGGGTGGGGTGTGGTCCTTGAAACAAACACCCCACTCCTCCAGTGAATTCTTAAAAGACTTCCAACACATTATGCAGGATTTACACATCCTCCAGGAACAAATTCACCACTGGAAAACAAAACTGGGTAGGATTCAGAGACAGGAAACAAGGCCTCGGGAGCAGCTTCCCAAAAACAGACCTAAAGAAAACAGGGTGAGTTTTCAGTCTGTCAGCCAGAAGCCTCGTTACAAACCCCTGGTCTCTGAAGCGCGTCTCCTCAACTTGATAAACAAGAAACACACTTCCCACCAGCAGATCGCCACATGCGGAGCCTCACTACAGACCCCAGCAGAAAGCTCACAGTTACAGCGCTGGGTGCAGAGGGGCTGTGGTCACGTCCAAGACCCCACCACCCATCACCCCTGTACCCCTGTTTACAGCACATCACCTGCCACGACTCCATCACGACTGTACTGGCCCCTGCAAGGAGAGGTCCACGTTCACTACTGTACCCTGAGCACAGAAACACAAGTGCAGTAAGTACTGTCTGAATGAATAAACAGCTATTAATTTTTTTTAAAACCCTTGGCAAAACTGAATAGGTGAAAACCTACTCAACTTGGAGAAGGCCGCATGCCAACCTACAGCAAAGATACACTTATTCAGAAATGTTGCATGAATTCCATGTAGGATCAGAAACAACATCAGGACATCCATTAACACCACAAAGGTTCACACAAGAGTGGGGTCCCAGATGACCCCACGGGAGAGAGAAACGAGGAGCAAGGCCTGGCGACAAGGGTTAGGCTCTCCTGCACACCTGGTCCGTCAGCAAGTCAAACACGAGTGCAGCAAGGCTGCCAAATCTGAAATCAAGTACAAAAACCAAAGGCATTTTTCTACGCTGGCCTTAACTTTTGAGAAAACATAAGGAAAAAAAAAGACAGTATTCATAAAAAAGCAGGAAAAACTATAAAGGATATAAAACTTTAACCAAGATCATGCAAAGTCTCTGCAGAGAAAAAAAATTTTAATGGAAGTATCTCACGACCTTGAACGTGACGGCAAAAATACAAAGATGCATGTCGCCTCAGACTGACTCTCTAAGTTCAATGATACCCTAATCAAAATTCCAATCAGTGTATTGAGGAACTCCATAACCTTATTCTGAAATGTGCAGGGAAAACAAATTTTCACAAACAGCAAAGTAAATCGTGGAAAAGCACAGCAAAGGAAGGGGAAATGGGCCTCTCCCAACACAAAGGAGGACGGGGATGCGGACAGTCACGGGGCGTCGAGCACAGCCACCCAGGGGCCAGACGCTGACAGGTGCTCAGAAAGGCAAGCTCCTAGGACAAATGCATCTCAACTTGCAAAAGAATAAAGTTGGACCCTTACCTCACACCATATACAAAAATTAACTGAAAACGTTTCCAAGATCTGTAACTATAAAAAGAAAACACAGGCATAAATCTTTATGATCTTCTATGAAGCAATGGTTTCTTAGATGCTATAACAAAACCACAAGCAACCAAAGAAAAACAGGTAAGTTGGACTTTATTTTGTGCTTCAAAGGATACCATCAAGAAGGTGAAAAGACAACCCATAGATTGGAAAAGAGTATTTGCAAATCACACATCTGATAAGGAACTTGTACCTAAAATATATTTTTAAAAACCTCTGACAATGCATTAATAAAAATCAATAACCAATTTTAAAAACGGGCAAAGGATCTGAATTGACATTTCTCCAAAGAAGATACACAAATGGATAATAAGCACATGAAAAAAATGCTCAGCATCGCCAGCCAACAAGGAAATACACATCAAAACCACGACGAGATACCACTTTGCACCCACTAGGACAGATGGAACCAAAAAGAAGGTGCCGACGAGTGTTGTCGGGAGCCGCCCTCGCTGCTGGGGGGCATGGACGTGGTGCAGCTGCTGCAGGAATCAGTCTGGAGGTTCCTCGAAAGGAGGGCCCAGGCCTGGGCGCAGGGGCCGTGTGCAGAGGAGACTGGCACCTGGCATCACTCATCCACAACTTCTTTTAGAAAAGGGCCCAGGAGGGCAGACAGAGTGGGAGCCCAAGGAAGGGAACATTTCAAGGAACAGCGCCAGAAGGAAAACGCTGAGGCAGGTCTTCAGAGGTCCCACCACTGTGAGCAAAGGGACAGGCAGGACAGTGTGCAGGGCAGCTCCGGGAGGGAAGCGCCCCAGGGCCAGCCGGGGTGCAGCAGAGAGGGGCCGGTGGGCCGGATGAGGCACCCTGAGGTGCAGGGCGAGGGCAGAAAGCAGGGCAGGGCCATGGCCTTCCGTCCAAGCTGGGCTGTCTGGAGAAGATGCCCCAGGGAGAGAGGGGGTGAGGCTGGAAACAGCCCTGGGAAGCCAGGCAGGCAGTTGCCCAACCCCCACCCCACTCAGCTCCCTGAGTCCCAACAGCTCTACTAGAACCTGAAGCATTTTGGTCACATGCTAAGCGACACACTCACAGGTAAGACGGTCCTGCCCTGTGGCCTGGGCTGCTGGGTCCCTTCTCTCAAGCAAGGCTGCCCTGCCATCAGCCCCAAGCTGGGGGCCCATACTCTGCCTTCACCCACTGTCACCCTCGGGTGTGCACGGGGTGGTCACAAAAGCAGAGGACCCCGTGGATGTGAAAAGGTGTCAGAGCAGCATGTGGGCCCACCAGGGAGGGGCAGGCCCGCAGCAGTTCCCATCGTGGGGGCCGCACCACAGCTCGGGAAAGACAAAAAGCGGCTGCCGGCCTAGGGCACAAGGTGGTCCCTGCCACCAGGCCACTCGAGGCCTCGTCCTGGGAGGCTCAGGGCCGCCCGCACCGAGCTCACAGGTCTACACGGAACACTGGGAAACAGGCCTCCGTCTCCCTGCAGTGCCTGGAAAGGCAGGGCCCTCGCCTCCCACTGCTGCACACACGGCAACCTCTCCAGACTGGCCTCTGCCACCCACGGGCCACTGTCTGTGTGTCTTCAGAGGATGCAGGGCCGGATGGGCGTCTGACAGCCCGGGTAAGCTCGCCTGACCTTGGCCCCGAGCCAGCCTCTTCCCCACCCAGCTGAGAGGCGGGTGGACATCGTCCAGGGACCAGGCTGGGGCGGTGGCGCGGGTGTGCAGCCGGGACCAGGCGGCAATCTCTGTCACAAGGGACAGGAGCGCGGTGCGGGCGCGTTTCCTCCCACGTCAGTGGGGACAGCGCCACACCACCAGCCAGCAGGACGACACTGAGACACGCTTCTCGTCCGCATGGCCCTGCTGTTCGCACAGGAGGGCCTGTGCCGACACGGCCAGGCGGACACCAGCATCTGAGGCTCCCAGGCGCCGGCCTCATGGTATCCAGCCAGGACGCTGCTCTCCAAAGGGGTCTGGCTGGCACCCCCAGGCAGCTTGGGTGGGACAGTGGGGTTTACCTGTCACGGTCTGTCCCAGAGCCAGCACCTCCCAGCCTGACTCCGGGCCTGTCCCTCCAAAAGCTCCCCTATGTACCAGCCCCTCGCCAGCCTCCCTCTACCTCCTGGCACCTCCGCAGCAGCTTCCATGCCCCAAGACCTGGTGCGGCCGCCCCCCTGCTGGCCTCACGGCGCCCTGAGGACCAGGACGCACAGGGCCTCCACCCTCCTAGAGGACCATGAGCCCCGGGACCCCACAGGAGGAGGCCGTACGGCAGGCCTGGCTGAGGAGGGGTGGCCAGGCAAGGGGCCCCGGGCGCCCTTACCTTCACTCGGCAGCTCGGCTCCCAGGCCGCAGTCCTGCTTGGTCTCCCCCTTCGCCGGAACCGCCTGCTAAAGAGAAATAAATGTCAGCCGGGCTCCGCCAGCAGGACTCCTGTCCGTGGGCATCGCATCCAAACCAAAACTAAACCACCAAGGACAGGACGGACAGGGAACCTCGAGCCAGTGGAAAATGCTCTTGACACCGTCTCTTCGGGAGGAGGACCAGCAGTCAACCACAGCCCCGGGAAACCTCTACTTCAACTGTATTGGGGGGACAGTCTTTTAATAATAAGAATGCATGGCTTACGTAACTAAAATTGCAAATGTTTTCTCTATCATAGGAATGCTACAATTTATTTCAAAGTGCATTCTGCTGCTGACAACAATTCATCTAAGTATTTCAAATGTCCAACAACCTACAGAAAAGTTAGAGAAATGGATAAATCAAGAAAATTCAATGAAAACCTGAATCACTACATATTTGAGTCTACAGAGACGTGAATCACACGATGCCTCTTGCAATGGTTTTAAGACAAACCTCTTGCCTTCAGGAATGTGAGAGTCTGGTTAGAGAACGAACAGAAACACACAACACACCCTTAAGCGGGGTCTCTGCAGGTGTCCGGTCCACAGGGGGAGCAGCTGACGCAGACCCTCTAGGCATCTCTCTTAGCGACATCCAGAGTCTAGGGGCATAGCTCCCATAACGCTTGCGTAACGTTCTGGAATGTTTTCTTCAAGAGACACCACAACATATGCTCGCAACACTCCTCCTGAGCCTGGCTCCCACTGCTAATTTCACTGGGGTCAGGCGGCTCCCTGGAGCAGTGCCCACCCCCACCCGGACCCCCACCCCCACGGCGCCCTCCTTCCTTGGCACCTCCAGAAGTCCCCACCCGCTGACTCCACCACCCCAGGCCTGCGGGCCAAGAAGGGGCACAAGCACGGCAAGCTCCCTCCGGCCACTTGCAGGCTCCACTCTCCTACCTTTCCAGGGCTCCACGTCTGGCCTGACCAGTGGTTTGAAACCCAGTGGTTTTCAAAGTGTAAGCTGAGGATCCCTGGGGCCCCTGAGAACTCCTCAGGGGACCTAAGAGGACTTGTTTTTTGAGGCATGTGTGCATGCACACACACACAGGGGTAGGGTCTCACTGGCACTACCCGGTCCTGGCCACCAGACCACAGCCAATGGCGCCTGGGCGGACATCCACTCCTAGCTGGTCACACAGGGTCCCTTGTTCTAGGAGCTGAGGAGCTCAGTCGTGTACGTGGCCACATGGATGAAGGCCAGCCACCGTTCCTGAGCATCTGTTGTGTGCCAGGCACCTGCCAGCCCAAGGGGAGGCCTCAGTAGACAGCAGGGTCCAGGCCACAGGGCCAGCTGACAGTGGTTTTTACATCACCAGAGACCTATGAACAATAACGACAAGATGTGACAGAAACCTCTGTGGTCAAAGCCATGTGTGGTCCTTTTCAGAAAAGTCCTCAGAGCCCTGTTCCAGTCGGGGGATAAGAAACAAACACATTAACTTCACCTAGAGTGTGGGGTGCTGTGACGTTATAAAACAGGGGTTGCAAGGCTGCAGCGGTGAGGGGTAGCCAGCTGGGGGCTCTTCTCCAGCCCCTCCCAGTGGCCTTGTGCTCATACCATCTACAGGCCTGGATTAAACAGTCCTGGTCTGTTGGCACTGGCCAACTCCCTGCTGCCCCTTCTGCAGTTAGGAAGCTGGAATTTGGTGCCAGGCACTAAGGGAAACTCTTGAGGCCTCACAGCCTTCCTCCCAGAAGAAGGGGAGTACTTTCTTACGGAGTCAGACCTGACACATCCCTCCTCGTCAAGGAGAAACAAGCCTTCATCGTGGATGGCAAAGCCCAGCCTCTGCTCCCCTCGGCACCCCCTCCCACACCCTGATGCCAGCCTCTGGCCCTTGGACCCCGCCACCCCTCAGCAGGCCAAGCTCCACCTTCTCAGACAGCCTCACCTGGACCTCGCCTTGTGGCCCTGCTGGTCCCACCACCACCAGGCACACCACCAGCCTGTCTGCCCTGCCAGCATGAGCACTCAGGGGCCAAAGGGGGGAACCTGTCCTGTCCCCAACCTGTCGGCAGTGCCGGGCGGGAGGAAGAAGCTGAGAAAGCATGTGGCAGAGAAAAACAGGGTCTTCCTAGGGGACTGGGTGTGGCGCAAGCCTGAGGGGCGCTCTGGGACAGCCCAGACGCACAGTCCACACGTGTTGCGGCCACCCTGCTCCTTGTGGGCACTGCCAGTGCCACATCTGGAAGCCCAAAGGCCCAGAGACTGAGGCTGCGGGTGAGCTCGGCCCACGACCAGGGCAAGAAAGACAGAAATCTCCTGAACCCAGATGCTCTGTGAGTCGAACCTATATGTACCTAGCAAGAGGGAACATGGAGGCTTCCCTGGTGGCGCAGTGGTTGAGAGTCCGCCTGCCGATGCAGGGGACACGGGTTCGTGCCCCGGTCCGGGAAGATCCCACATGCCACGGAGCAGCTGGGCCCATGAGCCATGGACGCTGAGCCTGTGTTTCCGGAGCCTGTGCTCCGCAATGGGAGAGGCCACAGCAGTGAGAGGCCCGCGTACGGCAAAAAAAAAAAAAAAAAAAAAAATAGAGGGAACATGGTTTTCGTTGCCTTTTCCAAAGGGCCAGCAACCTACAAAATCGACATCAACCAGGAAAGGATTACAGGTGGAACACGTAGCCCAAACCACTAACAAAACCAGAACCAAACAGAACTGCTGGCAGACACTTGAAACCCCTGCCAGCTCTCCCACAGGCAGGGGCTGTGACAATCCCGACAGTAAAAGGTGGATGGGTGACCTCAGTCTCTGCTTTGCAAGAAGAGCCTCAACTAACCCCAGAGTGAGCTTGGGATACGGGGCCACAACAGGAGGAGGAAAACCTCCAGAGAAGACGCGAGCCAACGGCAGTGCGCACAGCAGAAGCTCTGAGCAGTGCGAGGGCCCCTGGGCAGCAGCAGCACAGAATCTCGACTCCCACGTGCCACCTCCACGGAGAGACTGAGGCTCCTGGCAGAGAGGACCAACTCCAGGCAAGGCAGGGGCACAAGAGGAGCTTAGAACCTCGGGTTGTGCCTGAAAACGAAGCACTCAAACTGGCAGGGGGCGTCCAAGAACCAGGACAGACCCAAGGGATGCCCACTCCGGAGTTTACGACACTTGGAGCATCAAAATGAATAATGACAGGAACAGGAATTGTAAACCAGTGAATAAACACCAGCATTAAATAAATGAATGGATAACAAACAAATCCAACAGGGAAAGCTGCTTATCCTAGATGCCAACAACTTAAGGCAGAGAGAGGGCTGGGAGCTGAAGCCACCATTACAACTCGTGGAGGAAGTTTCGTAAGAAACGGGATCTTACAGAATCTCAAAGTATCTCGCCGCAACATTGTCCTCAAGTAAGAGGGAATTCCCTCAAGTAAAGGGAAGAGCAGTGACCTTCCGTGGAGAAACCTGTAGCCTCACCCATGGGACGGTCACGGACAAAGCGGCAGGTCTCCTGATGTGATGCACCCTAACCCTAACCCTTCCTGCCACCAGGGTTTCCAGAAAGCGACGTGATGTGCCCTTGGAAAAGGAAGACCGAGGAGCTGGAGTCCCTTCAACTCCCCGTCCAGAGCGGGAAAGCGCTGTGAAGGGACTACTGTGACGACTGCATGCACAGCGACCGGGCACCGTGTTCACGTGTGATTACCGTGACACCTGTATGCACTGCAGACCAGACGGTTGTGTCAACATCGGGTATCTTGATGGTTATTCAGGGAAATGTCCTTGTTTGTAGTAAATAAGAGCCTGGACTTACCTTTGTGCGGGACAGAGGAGACAAGATGCATGTGTGTGGTGTGTGTGCACACATGTGCACGTGTGAAGGACATAACAAGTGGAGTCTGGGTGAAGGGTAGATGGGAGCCACTGTACAAATCTTGCAACTTTTCTGTATGTTTGAAATTATTTCAAATTAAAGTGTTTTAAAAAGGAAAAGTTAGGAAAGTCTTCAGACTGGAAGCACGCTGTGTGGCCACAGGGCAGACAGGGTAGAACTGAAATGACGACAGCGCGTCTTGCAGGGAACAGAGAGGCAGCAGCAAGGACTTCCCAGAGGGGAACTGGTCCACGGCAGAGGCGCAGAAGCACAGGCTTGGGACCTGAGGACCCAGGCCCTATCCGGCTCCTCTGTCCCCCTGCACTTTGCCGAGGTCACCTGGCTTCTGCAGCTGCAAGGCAGGGACCGCTTGTTCCAGGAGCTGCTGTGAGGACGACAGACCTGGTGCCTGACGCGGAGCCAGCAGACCCGCAGCCCAGGATGCGTGAGGACACAGAACACGCGTGCACTGGGGGCTCCACAAACTGCTGCGCCTGCACCCCGTGTCACCGGGGGCCCAGGACCACGGGCAAACGCAAGGGTTCCAGCACTGGCTGTGGGACTCAGGTCCGGAGAGAGCAGGAGAACAGAGACATAAAGACAACTAGTGGGGGGGTGGGGGAAACCCCCAAAGGAGTAGCAGGCTCGGGAGTCAGACAGCACAGCTGTTTCCACCTTCAATGAACTATCAACATTTAAAAAGCAGGAGAGTTTACAAGAAATCTGGGTTTCCAGACTCTGAAACAGTGAAGAGCTGTGGCGACCCTGGCGGGGTGCCTGGACAGGCTCCTGGGGGGTTCCCCACAGAGTTGGCCTCTTGACACCCGGGACCAGCACCAAGTCAGATTCCACTTACTCCTGCATGTAGGTACTGATCCTCAGGGTCTAGACCGGAGAAAATGCCCTCCTGCCCAGGCCTGCTTCACGCATCTTAACTCATCCGCCTGCCCCCTGACCTCACTGGCAGCACCTGACTTGAGGCGTCACCTCCCAGGACCTGTCCTGGCCACATCTCAGTAATGATGCCATGACCTGTCCCCACCGGGTTGGGCCGTGGGGCCAGGATGTCTGATCCCAGGCCCCTGATTTCCCACTGTCCATCCAGGGCCAGGCAAGGCTTACCTCATCTTTACCCTCAGCCCCACGTGGCCGGGCCTCACTGCCT